ATGTTCACTCAGCTGGCATACCAAGCAGATGCAGATGAGTGTGAAGCTGTCGGTTTCCTGGGCGGACCTTTGATGATGAATGCCAGACGCAGCTCCGCTGATGGAAATGTCTGCTTCCTGCTCAGCCGACCAGCAAAGGCGCAGTCAATGGAATATTAAAATCATTATATCAGAAAATGAAAAAAAAAATAATAGTGTGGGAGTGCGGTGGAAATGGTGGCGCGATAAACAGCAGTGATTGTTCAAAAGGAACCATTTCATCCGCCCAGGATCAGAGGCTGCTGAGCTCATTGCTTCAGGTAGAAGGTATTTGTCTGCGGTGGACAGTTGAATATTCTGCAAACAATTACTTTAATTGGTTGTGAGACTTAATAAGGTCCTAAAAGAGGAACGCACGCATGTGCAGGAAAAATCCCCCACAGTAAAAGTAAATCACTTAATGTCTCAGTGTGGACGGAATCTTAAATGGCTGAAAAGATTATTCCTCTTGTTTCATTGTTTCTCTTTAATGTTATCGTATATTCCCTGATGAACGTTGCTCTGTATGGAAATGAATATACAGCAGTGGCTATGATTTTAGGCTCCCGAAAGTTGACGTGGAGAAAAAAGAAGATGAAAATGGAATAAAACTGAAGTGCAGTATTGTGAATTATTTAGTGCATGGGGCCGTAGCAAAGATCTGACTACTTGCTCATTTAGGAAGATTAACAGATGTGCCAAATCACTTTGCTGTCAATCTTTTACAGTTCCGAGTTGAAGAACTATGAATAAATTGGATTTTATACCTCAACTGGGAACTATTCTTTATGAGAGTCCTCTTTTCCTCTCTCCCCGGCACTGTGAGTATATGTAAAATAACAAAAAGGATGCATTGTTATCCAACTCAACAGTGGGCCATTGTGTTGAATTTTTTCTCTGCGGCCTTATCTCACTCATTCAAATTCCGCCCCGACAGCAACTTCTAAATCAGTCATACTGATTACAGAAGGAAACACATTCATGCGAGTTCCATATAGAGCCGTGCAAAATGAGAAAAATATGGCACTGCTGCCGGACGGCAGATAAGTGCGACCTGTGCGACAATGGGAGGATACCAGCCACAGATTCAGCAGAATAGACAACTTTCCTCATCTGGCGATGACGCGCCACGTCGAACTCAGCATCTGTGTGGTTCGACAATGCCGAGACTCTTGTGTGCCTTTTGCGGTCACGATAAGACGCTGTACTCCTTAAATCTTTAAAAACCTGTCCTCCAACTGAGGGGCAGTCAGACCCAATGAAGACACTTTCAGCCAGACATTAATCTGCCACTGGCAGCAGCCTTGCTTCATGGGCGTGGACAAAGCGTGTGAGGAGAATGAGAACCTCACCTCACCACCTCCTCCTCCTCCTCCTCCTCCTCCTCCTCCTCCTCCTATCTCTTTTCCCCCCATCTCCAAGCAACTGTTCAGACAGGAAGCCGTGGGCTCAGAGAAGCTGTTGTCTTGTTAAATGGTGCCACTAAAGAGGAAATGGATAACAGCCAACCTTAGTAATTGTACTGACTCAATCACTGGGAATGATTTGGCTCAAAAGGCGACTCTCCCCTTAGGCGGCTTTATTAGTTTCGCTGTCATGCCTGGTGGCCTCGTCTCAAATTCCTCATTATGCGGCAAACAAGACGTCCGTAGTACCGCTGGTTGCTGTGTGAGGCTAAATGCTAACACCGACATGCTAACCTGCTAAAGTTTAGCAGTATTCCTGTTCACCATCTTTGTTTACCCCGTTAGCATGCTAACGCTCGCTTGTAGCACTTGACACGAAGCACAACGTAGCTTGAGAATGTCGATAGTTTTGAAGTGTTTGGTCATAAACCAAAATGTCAAATAGTGGCCAAATATTAAAAGTTAAGGAATAGTCTTAGAATTTCCTCCCGACGGGTTCTTGATTATTTAAAGCAAATCTTTTGTCTATCCATCTAAAAAATGTCAAGTTAATGAGCCTGAATTATAGACTGTGTTTAAAAGTCTAAGGTTGCCCCTGTGACATCCCCATGGTTTGAGAGTAGTTTTAAAGCCGTTTTGGCTTTTTGTAACAAAAACTGCCACATGAGGGAAAAATAAGTACAACCGAAAACTGAATAAAACATTTTTTTAGAAGAAATTCAACCAAAATGTTAACTTTCATAAAGTGAAAACACGCTATGAAAGCATGGGCGCCAACTCCCGGACCGCGCCGTTGTAGCTTCCTGTCAAAGATCAGGTAGCAAGTTTAAGCCACTTTACTTTACCAGACACGGAGGTTAGTGCCTGCGCTGACTGAAATGCCGACCTCTAGGTGGCGCTAGAGGCACAATCATTGATCAAAGAGGACTTCATCTTCTGGGAACCATGATGGATGTGCAAAAATCTAATGGCGCGTTTCCACCGAGCGGTACGGTACGGGTCGGGTTGGTACCCTTTTATTTGTGTCTCCACTGCCAAAAGTTGAGAATGGTACCAAAAATCCGAACCGTACCGTACCACTTTTTGGGTACCCTTCCGTTGGGGTACCTGGCACAGTTGTTTGGTACTAAAGGGTGGAGCTAGACTCACTGGAGAACGTTGATTGGTGAAAGAGTGTCGTCATTTGTGCGTGCCGCAAGGGGAAAGACAACACACGAGGCGCCATTTTTAAACTACAACACCGTCGCAACAATGTCGCCTTGTGACAAACAGCCACATATCGAGAAGCAAGAACAGGATCGGCTGCATGTCCTCCGTTGTTGTTTGCGGTTAGCTTCCAGTTTTCGCGCGATCGAATGACGTCAATCTACTTTCCGTCATATACCACGCGTCTCAAGTGACATTATCACTACTTTCTGGAATACACCACGCCTATCAACCAAATCACGGTTAACAGACCCGACCCGATTTAGTATTATGGTGGTGGAAACACGCCATAATAATAAATCTAATAGCTGTTGCATATTTCAGTCTGACCCAACCACAGCAACACATACGTGTGAAAACTGGAGCATTTGGCATTAAGCCACTAATGTGGTTACATGAACGCTTGGGTCTGCTGTCTGGTGGTGACATGGACGTTATGAACAAACACGCAGAACGGGTCTATTCATTTTACTTATGATAACTGTTATCAAATGTGGATGTCATTATCGCTGAGGTGTGGATCAATAAGTGGGGAAGATTGAACCTCTGCTTTATTTATATGATAAATCAGATCAAAACTACCAGCGGTGAATGGATTCTTTTGACACAAAATGTCGAACGCGGCGTCTGATTGGAGAAGATAACCACGGAGGAAAAACAGCCTTTATTGCATTATTCAACACAAGCAGCAAATTGGCTGGAAATTAAAACTAATGAGCAATTACCCAACGAAGGACTCCCATTAATGTGTGTTTTCTCAATGCTCTCCAACTGAATCCTAATTTCTACTTATTTAATCTGAATAAATACAACATGGGTTTTTTTGTTAGTTCCTTAATCTTTCATTGTTTTCATTGTGAGGCCACGGAGAATCTGGGTTTGTATTGTGATAAACATCCAAGAAATTAATCTCTGAGCTCCTCCTGAAAGACTGTGAATGCTGTGTACACAAACATATTCCTCCATAATCAAAACATCGCACCCGCTATTGGTTCAGTCTATTTACACATTCATGAATACTTCATTTGCATGCGGCTCGTATTGTGAACGCCATGGCCTTATTTCTGCGATGTAAAATGTGTTATTTACCCTTCATAAAGAGATGAGCTGAACTTTGCTTCAACCGACGCCTTGTTTCCCATTTAATCTGGTGTCCCTTGCCATGCAAATGCACATGAAAGGCCCTTCAACACGGGACGGTAATGACTTAACAGGGTGCGTTCACAGAGAGGAATCTCTAACAATGTAATCAATTATTCACCCACTCTCTCGGCCCTGAACAACTATGATACAGCGGAGGATAAACATGCTTACATAGCTCTGGTGATGAATTCAACACAGGTAATCAATGAATATTGAGGTACACTCAAGGTTATTGTTGTTTTTTTAATGAACTGCAGCATTGCTGTGTGGGCTTTAACATTTTGAATTACAAGTTTATGGATTCTCAGTCATTTTCCCTCCAACCGAGCTGAGCACAATATTCTGCAACCTCAGCAGAAGTTACCGAGGAGCCTGTGTGAAGATTTATCATTAAAGAAAGCAAAAAACATAACATCAAAATGACCGTACATCCCGCAGGACCGCATTTCCGTAAATGTGAACAGATGGGTTTGTGTGCGTGCGTGCGTGTGCACGGAAACTGGACTCGCCTCCTGGATGTGGCTGTTTAAAAAGGATCACTACCACCACCGACAGCCCCCAACCTGCAACAACACGGCTCCAAATAAAGCCGCTCTTTCTGCATGTGCTATTATGTGCCTCTTGTTGATCTTTTTGTAGATAGGCTTGTGTAGACACTTTTCAAGCCTTTCAGGCCCAGTGTTGCCACAGTCACAGATAACAGGAGGCATCTTGGGCATCACGACAGAATAAAGTAAAGCATCGTCTGCTGTATTAATGAGGTAATCGTGCAAATCAGACGTAATAGTAATCCCTGTGTTCGTTGTTCAGACCTATCCTTTCTGGTTGATAGTGGAAGTTCATACTTGTCTGTACGCTTGACCAGAAAGACTGCGGTCGCGTAACCAGCATCCAAACGGCTATTCCTGCTGAAGGCACAGTTCATGCTGTCAGACAAAAACAAAGACCTGCTGTCCTTTAAATGCCAAATACAAGGCTGAAGCTCTCAGAGTTCAAATCACATCCCCTGTGCACTGAAAGCGCACACACACACACACACACACACACGCACACACACACGCACACACAGGAGAATATAAGGTGCATTTAACATCACTCCGTTTCTGCTCACCAAAATAAGACTTTATTATGTAAAGACAAAGGAAACGTGGCGTTTAGGTGGAGCAGCACTGTCCCCTAGTGTCAGAAATGGGAGCAAGAAGAAATTAAAGTCAAGTCACTGCTGGTGACCACTTGGCCAGGCTTTTTATTCATTTTCCACAAATGTCAGGGGAAACAAAGGCCTGCATGGGTCTGTGGATAATTAACTTTAATCTAGGTCTACACATGCCAGTGTGATTTTCCCCCTTTTGCTTCTTCATCTTTGCAAAAAAACGTTGTGACCTGCAGACTTTCCTTTTCATACTTAATTTAATGTTACTCACTTATATTCAATGCATACAATTCAATCGTGGTTTTGCAGTTAAAACTGTATCCTGTACCAACATTTGTTGAACTGCATAAGTAGATGGTGTTAAAGAAGAAAAATGATAACAACATAATGTGCTATTTCCCCTTGAGCATTACATTGTGAATGAAAAAATGTTCCAAATCATAAAAATGTAAACAATGTGACCACGGAAAATACATTTTAACACTCAAATGCTTTTTAATTTCTATATTCATAAGTAGTGCGTGTAATAAGTGCATGTAACATCCAAAGATGACCAGCAGCTGAATGCTCTCCAGAGGAGGAAGCGCCGCTCTCTCTCCTCTTTGTTCCCGTCGTCTTCTGACACTTCATCAATAACCCCTGGTTCACGAGGAGGTGAAGCAGGAGCAGCTGCTTCTCTGGTGGGTTCTTGGTCAATATTCAAGCAGGATGTATTGTTTTCATCCTGCCCTGTCCTGAACATCAGTCATAGTTCATCGGGGGTTGTTGTGGGAACTGGTGGAGCCCGTTGGCGTCCCCTCAGTTACAGCCGGGTTTCAATTTCCCTGGACTGAGGTGTCGGCAGAAGGCTTTTAATGAGCCGGTACTTCGAGGGCCTGAGGCTCAAACATCCCACAAATCTTTCCCACAGCAGCACTGAGCAGACCTCCTGACCTGGTCCACCGGGATACGGTATGGGTTGGTCTCTCCGATCTTTGTTCCCGACAGACATTTCTGAGAAGGCATCTGAGAGGGAACATGGTGGAAGTTTCCAGAAGCCTTGCAGGACTCTGGGAACAACCTCTGACACCACCTCTCCTGGACTGAGTCCTTCTGAGCTGAGAGCATCCAACGCCCTCTTTCTCAGGATCATGACTTAGTCGCTCTGCGTGCTGAGAATTTTTAGGATTTCTGTCGGTTACAATCAATAAAATCAGTTTTCAAAACCTTTCATGATGTCACAGAGATTAAAAAAGCGATTTAAAAGCACGGCAATTTAATCGTTGATACCTGTGTCAAATAAAACTCACTGGAATTTAGGAGGTAAGGCTTTTGAGGAGTTCAGGAGCATTCGTTTTATTCATTCATTTTAGCACATTTACTGCCCAGAAATAAAAAATAATAATTTAGACAGGATTCCGTTTCAACATATTATGGGGACAAAATAATACTGTCTAGGCAAAGCTTCTCTCAAGGTTCTTCTCTTACTCGGATCAGCGGAGGCTTGGCATCTTCCTCATCAAAACCCTCCAGTTCAAACTCCCAAAGGCTTCAAGAAACAAACCTATTTTATTTGGGCTGTAAAACTACATCAGCAGAGTAATTTTAGTGTGACATAAATATATTTCAAGTTGTAGTGATGGACCATCAGTCTCAGTAATTTATCGTTCTCTCCGAGTACTTTTACTCTTCTCCAAAATGAGGTTGATGGTGTCTTTGGTAAGTCAGCGGAGACGGCATGAAGCCTGAAGGCGTTTCCCCATCAGTGCAATCCAAACAAGTCTAAAGGAGAGAAGTCATCTCTAATCACGGCAAGACATTGTTTATCATAATTGATCAGATTCTGGATGGATGGTAGATCTTACCTGAGCCTTGTATCTACCCAATGAAATCAATAACAGCATTTTAATTGAACCTTCCTGCCTGTAAATCCCAATTACTTAATTACTTCATCAGGTTTTCAGACTTTACAAAGCTCCTCCAAAGCCACAAAGGCCCTTTTCATGACCTGTCAACTGACTAACATCTGTAAAATAATTTAAGCATTGAACAATATTTTTTATACTAAAGGTAGTATTTTTTTAATCTACAAAGTGATCTACAAAGGCATAATCTTCTCCTTCTTCTTCTTTGTTGCTTTTACTATTCTAGTGTGAATAATGGCCCTCTGTGATTCAACCGCGCATCTGAAAAGGCAATTAAACACTCATCTGGAGACATTTCTAATTTGCGACTTTGCAGTGCGACTAGTCATATTCCATTCTTTGTTGGCACACTCATTCATCACAGCGAACGCCGTATGGACTCAATGTGCGCTGCACGTGTCTTTTGGCCATGTAAATGTTACCACGGGAACCAGGCAGAGCGGCAGAGCGCGTGTTCCTCCTGGAAAACGCTGATAATTTCGGTGGAGTGGAAATAACTGAAGGTCACAGGTGACAACACAGCAGAAAGTGGGACTGCAGATAACCAAGCTTTTTCTCAGTGACATTCACACCCATTTCCTGCAGACACCTTTCACAGAACACACAGCATATTGGGACAGTAGTGGTGGAAAAAATGGCCACGACTTTAATCGTGTGAAAAAATATATTCTGGTGCTGGTTACTGCTACGTTGATGACTCTACCGGGCGGAACGTCAGAGGTCCGTGGCGTGTATAAAAAGTCCAGGACAAAGGTTCAGCCAGTTATAGTGACTTTCTCCTGGAGTGGGGGTTGTCCTTGCCCGCACAGAGAGCTGAGCTGCCGGGGGAGGCCTGTGACGACGCGCTGCGGGAGCTGCAGGAGGCTCGGTCCACCCTGTAGGAGATGGAGTTGTAGAAGACGGGGTTGCTGTGGCCGCCCGTCCGGTCGCCGCGAGGCGCCGAGGGGCTCTCGTAAATGTTCTCACAGCACATGCAGGAGAACAAGGCCCTGATTCTGCGGGGCCTTGAGAGCTTTGGGTGCTCGGGTAAAACCGGCCCGTGCTCCTCTAGGGGAGAGGCGAGGAGATTCAGAGAGCTGGTGCCCCCCTCCATGGGGAGGCTCAGGTCGCACAGGCTGCCGGGACCGTCTTCGATGTCGCCATAGCCAACGCCGGACCTTTCTGACTCCGCCCCGGACGCCTCCCGGCCCCCCCGCGTGTCCTTAGGCTGCGTCGCCTGCCCCTCTTGCCCCGCTTCAGGCCTCTGGTCGGGCTCCTCGGTGCTGACAGTGAGAAACCTCAGGACCACCAGGTTCAGAAAAGCCCCAATGACTGTCAGCCCGACCAAGATGTACAGGAAGCTGAATACCACATAGGAGTGTCGCTTCTGGAGGGCATTTGTCTTCTGCAGGGCCACAAAGTCCCCAAATCCAATAGTGGTGAGCGTGATGAAGCAGTAGTAGTAGGAATTAAAGAAGGTCCAGTCCTCAAAGTAGGAGAAGGCCGCGCCTCCCAGGCACAGCGTGCTCATGCACGACAGCAGACCCACCAGGACCATGTTCCCCATGGACACCCGGGTCTCCCGTAAGCCCAGGCCCCGCTTGGCTCTGCGCAGGAGGTGGCGCACGGCGGTGTTGATCCTCTCGCCCAGGCTCTGGAACATGACCAGGGTCAGAGGGATGCCCAAGACTGCGTAAAACATACAGAAGACCTTGCCAGCGACAGTGCGTGGAGCAGTGTGGCCGTAACCTACAAAGTCACAGTATATTGCAGGTCACACAATGTCATGTACGATTGTTTGATGTGACACAACCACAGTTATCACCAAACTCGAGTTTAAAAATGATCAAGAATTTAATAACTAACAGAAGTAATAAGCAGTACACATACAAAGTGAAATAAAGCATGAATAGTATAATATTATTAGTCCCAGCTGGTCCAAGTCTCATATGACCATTGATATTGGTTCACAGGAGGCTTCTGTCTGCTCCTTCACCAGCTCAGCTCTTCCAACCTCCCGGGGGGGGCGTGTCCCTTGTGCTGCGGTCGTATGTGATTGGCTGCACATTCAAGCCCAGCTCGTCCCTCGTCAATTCCTTTCTGCGCCAAGTCATCACATGACTCCCTGCTGGCTCCATCTGATGGTCAAATCTGAAATCTCTCACTGACCTGACCGATCCCTGTTCACTTCATACTACAGTACATTCAATGATCGCACCTTTGGCCTAAAGCTTCTTCATGTAAACATAACATAACATAATAACATCATCTAATAGCTAGTACACTTTAATAATAACACGTCTTATATCATCACATGTTAACCATTGTGTTTAACTCAGTCCTATTGTCCAAAATCAGAATGTTTGCCTCGCAGGGCTGTCGTAAAAAAATCCCCCCAAAAATCCATGAAAGACGGCAATTAGCATCCGTCCCCTGGTCTTAATGTTACATTGTGACAGGATGTTAATGTGTACAGTAATTACATGAATTGAATTACTATAAATTGTGTTTGATTCATATTGCAATTATTTCATCTAACACGCTAATGTAATAACTAATATCTAATAACACACACACTACAATTCAATCACTAAACATTACTACATGTATTATAACTTCTACCTCTACTGCTTAAATCCCTTACAGAGGAGAAGCCTTTCCAAAGCTGACACCTACTGTGGCTGGTGAAGTCTATGGTCTGGCACTTTTAAAAATCTATAATATAAGACAATGAATCCTATATTACAACATGTTGTCATTGAAAATGTTTTATAACCCAAATCTCTGCACACTCACACAGGTTTTTTACTCATTCGGGCTCATCTAAGTGCTGGTATTGAGGTTACCAAACCACATGAACTAGTGGAAATGACTGAAATGTGCAGCCTCTCCACCACTAATGGGGTAGTGATTAAAACCTTTGTCCTGGATAAATTAGTTATGTCTTCTATTCACTCATTGCTCATCCTGACTCACGGATTAGAGTTCACACCGATAGAAACACTGAGGGAGAAGCGATTGATCGAGCGTGTTTTAACCCCACCCTTCATACACGTATGCTAAACTAGTAACCGTTGCTCTTTACAGTTTGGGATCGGTCGGATAATGTCTCCCCATCACAACGTTTTGCATGCGGAAAGATTTAATGGAACAGGAGTCATTTGGGGTCAATCTTTTGCCTGAAATTCCCAAAAGAAATTTAGCTGCTGTTGTACCATCAGAAAATAGATGTATTACGTACAAAACAACTATTAAATAGGAACATTCAAGTAGACGCTCCACCAGAAAGTAAGTAATTCAGTAACAAACCGTCACTATGTAAAGAGCTCAAAGGCAGTTATACGAGAATAGTGCATTTCACAACAACCACGTGTGAATGGAAAGATTAGAAGCGAAACATTGTTGGACGAGATTTGAGGGGCACTGTTTTATTATTCTTTTCAACCCACTGTAAAAAAAAAGGTCACATTTGAATTATAGGCAACCATACTGGTGGTAATGTTTTAAATGACCAGACCTGTGGGTGGAATATTCCTTTAAATGTCACAGTTTGCTAAGATGTTGTTTATTGTTTACAAGGTGTTAATCAATGGGAGGTTGTTTAACGGCAATGTTCCGTTCCTATTTGCGGAATCAACGCAGCATGTTCACTCACTACAGTGCATCGCCCCTCTAATAACTGGCCCCTTGGGGCCCTTTCATCAGGCCTCCACGTCTAACCGAAGCCAACGAACACAAACAAGCTGCTTGTACCACTTGTGTTCGCGTTTCAGATAAGAAGGTATGGAGAAATTGTTGAAGCGTGAACTTACCAATGGTTGTGACAACAGTGATGGCGAAATAAAAAGAGCCGGCAAACTTCCACTGCCTCCCGGCGCGGTGCGGCTGCCACTGGAGCGCCACCCGTTCCACGTCTCCGTAGTCGTCCTCGGTGAAGCCGTACTTCTTCTTCAGCTCGCGCAGCTTCTGCTCCAGCACACTTTTCCTGGAACTCTCGCCGTCCGACTCCAGCGCGTCGAAGACGGCGGCTCCCAGGAGCAGGTAGCAGAAGATGGAGAGGATGAGAGAGAGGGTCCTGATGTTCCGCGACTTCATCCTCGACTCCGGAGTGTGCGCGGAGCTGAGGGGGCGAGGGAGGGGTGGAGGAGGGTGCTGCCTCTCAGGGGAGGTGCTGCCGCTGCTCACGACAAAACACGACGGCCAGGGGACGAGGGAGCATCCAGCGGGACCTCCAGGCGTCTTCAGCGATGTGCACGGGCCCCCTTTTGGCCTGTTGGGATCACGGCACATGCGCAAAAAAGCCTGTTTCATCAGCGTGCACAGTAAGAAGTGTACTGTGACATTCAGTAATTAACTGGCAGCTGGGGACGGGTAACTTACTGTAGAAATGATCACACTTTCACACCACCCTCATGACGTGGTTTACTGCAAACGAGGGACAGATGAGTACGCTCACACGTGCACTTCTGTGTGATGTGCTTACTGTGATGTCACTTTGATGGCCAAAGGTCAGAATAAGGGAGGGAGGTTTTCTCTGTGCTCAACTTGGACCTTTAGAGAAATGTTTGCACAAGGATTTTTCACATCACGACAGCGAGATCTAATTCGGTGCAATGCAAAAGTCCCCCCCTGCCTTGTGCATAAATAACTAAAAAAATCATTCATTCCTACATGTGGAATTTGATTGCCACGCATCTCAAATCTTGGTTTCGTTGTTGATACACGATTGGTAGTCACAACACAAGCATTGTCAGTATTTAGGAATTCAGAGAGGGCTTCACATAAATAAATGAAGCAGAATAATGAAGTTCATAATATACCTCAGTAAGCAAAATAAATGAGCGCTAGCGAGCTATAGAAGCCCAGAAAGATATTTCTGGCCTTTTACTCCTCGTGCACTGTAAATTCAAAACCAATAGTTTAATTTTCTGTAAACATACACGTAAACACTGTAAAATATAAAATAGTTTAGTTCTCCACAATCAACCCTTATGTCCGTCTCTGCAAACATGATGCATAAGTATTTATGCTGCTAACCTTTCATACTGACTCTCCAAAATCTCAATCACCGATTCTGTGTTTTCAGAGGTTTAAGATCCAAGTGTCCGACTATCAGTGTGTGCGTGTGCGTGCGTGTGTGTGTGTTTGTTTGTGTTGTGTCGGCCACAGGGACGCTCTGCTTTCCAGACTACTCTTAATTATTTTGCCCTATGAAGCATTCATGTGCGGAGTACTCACAATAAACGCTGGCTAGTACTCTGAGCGACGGAGCATTAGCCTGTGGCGGCGCCGGCATTTATTGAACACACACACACGGTCCCTGAGGGATCCAGCAGGCCTTCATCGTTCAAGTCCACCACACGAACGCAGCGCGAGAGAGAGAGAGAGAGACAGTCGGCGGAGAAGACACACAGACGTTTGCCTCGTGGCGGCTCTGAGTGGCATCTGCTGGGCAACAGAGAAACCAGACAGTTGGCCCGCCGTGCCGAAAGTTATTTCTGTGTCATATCCTGCATGAAGTTCCCATCGATTTCGGGATGATATTCCAATTTGTGGGAGCCATTCGTGTACTAAACCTGGGCATAAAGACCCTGAGATCTGTCATTTATTGCCTCCCTCCCATATAAAACATATGGCTATCTCTGTTTTTTTCTTCCGGAGGAAGCACGGGACCTCATCGTGCTTTGGTAAGCACAAACAGATCCATTGCCGAGCAGATGTTAACAACGTAGCATGCAGACAAGTCTCGATTTTTTTTTTCCACTGCCGGTGAGAGTAATTATCTTCTTTTGAAAGGAGTCCCTGGGAGATAATAGCCTTGCCAGAGTCCGCTTAATGAGAGCACACAGTGCTTACAGCAGTAGTATTCAATATCAGTTCTTCATGCAGATTTCACATTGTGTGCAGGGAACAAACAGACCCACAGAAGAAATAGTCACATCAATACAATTGCCGATAATGTCATTTGTATAACCCGGAAGTTAACGTTGCGCTGCTTCTCTTCACAAAACGCCAATGGGATTTTCTATTGGATTGTTATATATGCACAGTATATATACATTTCTTTGTTCAGAAAGAAAAGCGTTACAAGGAAACCACTACTGTGATTTAGCATTTGCATAAACGCGATCACCGGAACGACGGTACGTCGGCCTGCTTGACTTTGACTACATCTAAGAGAAAAGGTAATGTGTTTTTTCATTATGAACCATCCCTTTCAGGCATCCAACAAAAGCCCGTTCAAAAAAACACATTGGTTTCGAGCCGAGGCAACCGGAAATACTAAAACGCTCATTTATGTGTTTTGGGACTCATTCCAGCAGCAGCACCCCACTCAGCTGCACACTGCGCAGTCACTGCCGAGGACTGCTTTAAATATGAATTCTGTGGATAAACAACTCTCCAGCCATGAAGTAATGATGCTGCATTATCTGATGTGCTCATCTTATATCTCTCTGCTCCACAGGACATTTCGTATCTCTTTATCTTCCACAGGAAGACATTAAGGGCAGGATGTCCACTGACTGGAGACGAGACAGCCTCATGCCGTAGGAAAACGAGCCGGGTGACTGTACGGCAAACAAGATACTATCGTTACACGTACAACAGCGGGGTGACCGAGGAGATACCGGCTGTTATGACAATCATGCGTAACAGAGACGCGGCCTATTTTCTTGTTGAAAACAAAAGCAGCGCATCTTTTCAAAGCCTACTTAATAAAAGATGTAGGAGCGGATTTATCTTTTGTGGTGACAAGTCATCCGTGTCACAGAGGGAAACAGGCTTGAACTTTGCAAATAATGTCAACAATCCTTTGAGCCTTATTAGCCAAAAGGGCACGGACGTGGTCTTCCATTACCGTCACCTTGAAAGAGAGGGGCCCCGTCCAGGTTGAGGAACCTGGTGTGACTACGGAAGGTTGTATTTTTTTTTTTTTGTGCGTCCATCGCTTTTTTCCTCGAATGACAGAAAACCGTAGCTCACTGAAGGCGCGATTTTGATTTGTGGTCACAAGCAGCTCAAATGGAGAGGCTGTTTAATTAAACGATGAGCACAAAAGGTCAGAAAATGTCAATAATTGTTGTTTAAGTGATAAGGGACATTTGAAAAACACGTTCAGGCTCAAATACAATTAGCTAAGTAAGCCAAGTACATGCACACAGATAATCAATTTCAATGATACAGATCTGTGTTTTGCACAATATTCAGAAGGCTCATATGTGATTTTCCTGCTACAAATGGACTCATGTTCTTGAACAAACCACAACGCCTAGACCTTTATTCACCGCCGGAAATAAACAAGGTATCTAAATTAAGGATTTTTGGCCAGAAATTTAAGCATGAAATAGAAAATAAGGCTCGATTTAAGAAAAAACCCAAATTACAAACTCGTTTTGGTTTGTACCTTAATGTATCAATTAAAGTGCACATTAACGGCTTCGGGTCAAATGTAGGGTTAATTGTGTTGGATTGTAATATATGAAGGGATTTTCAATGGTTTGTTAACATAATATAACAAATCCTTGAAAATAACCTTTTTTACTTCAATGGGCAGTTTCAAAAAACCTAAAATATTGCTGTAGCTTTAAGGTGTCATAGTGAGGAAGGGGGTCGTGGATTCCTTCAGGTTTTAAATAAAAATCAATATATCGATAGAGATAGGTATAGTTTTAAATCAACTATTTGTTGATGGCGTTAGCCTCATGTTTACACAGCATGTATCTCCATTGCTGCATATTCAATCTTGTCGTGAATATTTTGCGTCGTGTGTACAAGTCAACGTGCTGCTTAGTGCTTCTTCACTGTCTCTAATAATAGTATGAAAGGCTGTCTTCAACTCGTAGTCCATCATACCCTACGATCGGACCACAGAGGTCAAGTGTTCCGCATTGAGGTTAATCCAGCGATGCTCTTTGGGCCTGTTCACTTCTTCATTCGCTTGCCAACTGTTAATAAAAATATCGTTTAGCCGGTTTTTGACTTCAAAACAACTACCGAGTTACAGTTGTTCATGTTGGTAAAAAAGACTAATAAAGCTCCAAACATCTGTCCCGTTTAAGACAACACGTGACCTTTAAAACACCAGAAGCGCCACACTGACACGCTGCGTCGGGCATGAAGGTTTAACCGGTAACGCATGAATGGCGCGGATTGGCCGCCGTGGGTTTCGCCTGTCGACCAAGTTTCGGTGTCACGCCGCGAAGCTGCGAGGAAATGAAAGTGAAACCGCGCTCGCGTGAGTTCAGATGAAGGCGTTTGTCAAACTGCTCCCGATGGCCGCGTACGACTTCTTCCGCCTTTACTCCGCGTTCCACTGGTTCCGACGCCGCTTGTGTTTCCTTTGGCGCTACACTAAATTAACCGGATGCGCAGTGTACAGGTACGCGGTGGGCTGGAAGCCCCCGATAAACGACCACGGGAGCCGAGGCGAGGTGGTGTCAAACATCGAAGACGAAGCTCCGCAGGTGAGTCCCGAGGGTCAACGTGAGGCCGCGGCCCGAGAGAGGCCCGCGGGGCTCACGCGCGAGCGGCCGAGGTTTGAGGACGACAGCGACGACGACGGCGGCGAGTTTGACGGCGAGGAGTACCGAGTCGATCCCACGGACGAGTTGCACTGTGGCTATGACTCAACGTGGGACGCCGAGGAGTCCGTGGGCCCGTCGAGGAGGACCACGAGACCAGCGGCGCACAATGTGAGTCCGCCTCTGCAGGGGGACCTTATTTCATTCCCTCTATCTGTTTTATGCACAATGATCTCCTGTTACTCTACCTGGGATGTTACGTCACTGTCATTTTTTAAAGGACAGTTTGTTCCTATAACCTCTTATGACAATTTCTCTTTTCTGTGGCAGTTCATGTTCAGCAGGTTTGAAAATGCTGCCAGAGACATGCAGAACTACAGGCACGGCTATCCTGTAAGTTACACACACACACACACACACACAGATATGTGTACACTTGTGTGTCGGTGTTAACCAAGCACACGTTTTGCTTTGATGTTTCCCTGTCGTTTCAGAACAGGCAGCAAAGCACAAGGCGGGTAAGTACACAAAAGATGATTGGATATTACTCCTTGTATGACATTTTTTTTTAAGAAACATTTTTAAACAAACAAAAACATAAGTGCAACTCTCTTCTATTGAGTAGGACAAGCTAAATCTGCAGTTCTACCTTGGAATGACACGCTCAGTACCCGACGGTAGGCCTACACAACTTTAAAACCAAGCTCTGCAGTCTGTGAGCATCTTACATTTGAAAAACTTTTAGAGCCCTAAAGAAGTAAAAGTTTGGTATTTCAATTTAAATCCAATGCCACCATCTATCTACAAATGGGTTACCTTCTGGTGTTTTGTCATCAGGCGTCTCTATAGATGGTTTCCACCAGGATTGGTACAAAGATTATGACAGACTGGAGTCTGTGCACTCCTACATTCAGTGGTAAAGTACTCTATAGTCACAGGTGTGATTTAAAATGTTCAGTTCCTGTTTATACAATGTGTTTGTCTGTCTCTCAAAGGCTTTTCCCACTGCAGGAACCAGGGATGAACCGCGATGCCAGTATATTGACAACAGAAGAAATCGAGGTAAACTGCTAAAAGCTCAAGTTTCAACTCTCTAAAGAAATCCATCATCTGACAGACGTTCGACTTTTCCTTCAGGAGTTTCTTCAAAGCAACATCGCAAAGGAAAATCTGTTGAAGTCTTACAAGCTCATGTTGGACTTCTATGGTATCGAGTTGAGTGATGAGAAAACGGGAGAAGTCAGGAGAGCGTGTAACTGGAGAGACCGATTCAACAACCTAAACAGGTGAGCTCTGCTTTTTAACCCGACAAATCGTTCACCGCAAGCACCAAAAGCATCCAAGTAACGTCTTTTCTGATGCCGTTCTCGTCATTGACAGACGAACTCATAACAACCTGCGCATCACCCGCATCCTGAAGTGCCTGGGAACCCTGGGGTACCGCCACTATCAAGCGCCCCTGGTCCACTTCTTCCTGAAGGAGACCCTCGTCCATAGAGAACTGCCGCAAGTCAGGGACAGTGTCCTCCACTACTTTGTGTTCGCTGTTCTCGACAAGAGAGAACGCAGGAGACTCCTCAAGTTTGCCTATTTGAGCTACGACCGCAGGGAGGAGTTTGTGTGGTGCCCCAAGAAGATCCAGATAAAGTGGTCACAGGGAATGAGCAGCAGAACAGAGCTTCTGCACTGTGAGGACGGACGCCAAGAAGAGGAAGATTAAGCTGCGACGGGATAATCCGTCACACCGCCCAGGGGCCCCTTCTACAAATGCTAATGTGGACTCTACTATACACCACATATGGCACGCTAGTCGCCATAAATACTGGAAGAGGGAAGGATGTCATTTATTTTGGTAGTCAAACTGCTTCGCAAATACACATTACAATTTATGCAGTCTGGTTTTGGGACACACCTTGTGCAGATAAAATATCCAGCCCTGAAGAGAATGCCAGCGATTAAAAGCTGCAAGAATATGGGGTAGACGGGGGTGGTGAGGATTATTATCCAGGGATGTAGTGGGGAATTGTGCAATTATGTATGCAAACTGTTTTGTTTAGTTATATTCTTACTTAGTTACTTTCACAAATGGAAATGTGCAATAATCTGCCCTTTAAAAATGTCCATTTTCTATTATTATGGCGCAGATAGGTTGGAAGAATCGCGCACCAGTTTGATCATGGCTAATAAACCTGAAAATTACCTTGTAATTGCATCGTGAACTTTGACCTTCTCTAAGTGCTGTGCACAGGACTCTGGGTCAGAATAGCCAGAGGAGCTGGCTGGATGTGAGCCCGAGCATTTCCACATTTCACTTTCAGACCGAAACTTGAATCACACGTGACCATTTAAAAAACATGACAGCAGAAATACGCATTTAATCAACCGGGTTTAATTGGTCGAGCTCAAACAAAATCAGGACATTTCATTTACAACCATAGATGGGATCATGTGTTCTGTAGATAAGTGGAACCTTCCAGTTCGGCTGGACGTATTAACACAGTTAACAGTGTTTGCTTAACCGCCACATTATCCATCTCAGATATATGGCTTTTATTTTCTCTACTTAGAAAAGTATGATTAAAAACAGTATATACACAAATACATTCATATTTACATATTGCAAATGGTGTGTTACTCGGTTACATTATTAAAAAAAAAAAACTGCTTGGACAGGAGAAACGTACATGTAATAAGATTCAGTAGCCTACTTAATACAGCTTGAAGACAAGCAACTTAGATCGCCCTCAGATTTTTTTTTTCTTGAAATGTGATAAAACAAAGTTAGAAACCTTTAAGTGACAAAAAGAATAATAACATTGTCATATTTTAGTTTTTTCCTAATACGAACACGTGTGGAAATTTAACCAAATACTGCTCATCTACATTTACAGTGATACAACTGGTGATGGATTGTAGTGTCTATAAAGCAGAGACTAGGACATGTTCTTGTCAGTTTCTGCAGTTTTCTCTACCTTCCTGGTTGGATCATTTTTACTGTCTTTTTTCTCCTCCCTCTTGTCTTTGCTTCGGCTCCTGTCCCGACGATCCCGGTCCTTGTCTCTGTCTTTCTCCCGGTCCTTGTCTCTGTCTTTCTCCCTCTCCTTGTCTCTGCCCCGGTCTTTCCCACGGTCTCTGTCCCTCTCCCGTTCTCTGCTCCGGGATCTGTCCCGTCTCCTGTCGCGCTCTCGGTTCCTCGCTCTGTCGCGGTCAGAATCCCTTCGGTCAGAATCCCTGACTCTGTCCCTTTCCCGGTCTCTCTCCCGCTCTCTCCTTTTGTCTGTGTCTTGATCTCTATGACGCTCTCCCTCCGTCTCCCTGCGCCTCTCACCCTCCCTCGCTCTGCTGCGGTCTCTTTCTCGGCCCCGCACTGGATCGCGGTCTCTCTCCCGGTTACGCTCGGAATCCTGATCTCTTTCTTGAGGACGCTCCGAATCTATGTCTCTTTCTCGAGGACGCTCCGGATTCTGATCCCTTTCTCGAGGACGCTCCGGATTCTGATCCCTTTCTCGAGGACGCTCCGGATTCTGATCTCTTTCTCGGGGACGCTCCGAAGCCTGATCTCTTTCTCGGGGACGCTCCGAAGCCTGATCTCTATCTCGGGGACGCTCCGAAGCCTGATCTCTATCTCGGGGACGCTCCGAAGCCTGATCTCTTTCTCGGGGACGCTCCGAAGCCGGATCTCTTTCTCGGGGACGCTCCGAAGCCGGATCTCTTTCTCGGGGACGCTCCGAAGCCGGATCTCTTTCTCGGGGACGTTCTGAAGGCAGATCTCTTTCTCGAGGACGCTCCGTAGCGGGATCTCTTTCTCTAGGACGCTCCGTAGCGGGATCTCTTTCTCGAGGACGCTCCGTAGCGAGATCTCTTTCTCGAGGACGCTCCGTAGCGGGATCTCTTTCTCGAAGACGCTCCGTAGCGGGATCTCTTTCTCGAAGACGCTCCGTAGCGGGATCTCTTTCTCGAAGACGCTCCGTAGCGGGATCTCTTTCCCGAAGACGCTCCGTAGCGGGATCTCTTTCCCGAGGACGCTCCATAGCCTGATCTCTTTCTCTGTTTCGCTCCGGATCGCGGTCCCTTTCTCTGGTACGTTCCAGATCGCGCTCTCTGTCTCGGCTACGCTCTGGATCACGGTCTCTTTCCCGGATTCGCTCTGGATCGCGGTCCCTTTCTCTGACTCTATCCCACTCTCGCTCTCTACTCCACCGCTTGCCTTGTCCCCTGTCCCATGGTGGCCGTCCAGGGTGGGGGACTTCACGCTCTCTTTCCCTACGGCACTCATCGGGAAGCTCCCTTTGCCTCTCTTCTGGGGGTTGTGGAGGACCAGGAGCAGGTTCTCTGTGCCCTCCTTCAAAGCGACTAAAGCGATCTCCGATGCGTGGGTCCAATTCCTCTCGGTTAGTGCTGCTCCTTCTCCTCATTTCAGGAGAGTGGCGGCGCCAGGGTTCGTCCCGGAGCATATCTGGACTATGGGCTCCCATGCGACTTGGGGGACCTATGGGAGCCTCTGGAGGAGTTGGCAACAAGGGCCCACTGTGGCGAACAGGTCTAGCCTCATCAGAGTGCCTATCTAAACGGTACCGCTCGGATCCTCCAAAGCGCTGAGGCGGGTGGGGTCGATTCTCCTGAGGGAGGGGTCCTCGGTGCTCTTCAAACGATACTCGATGTGTCGGTGGGGAGTGTAGTCTGGAGCTTTCGTACTGGTTGTGTGGATTGAAGTGCTGTCCGCTCATCTCCCCGCTGGAAGGAGGCCCTCGTCTGTCCTCATACTGGTTAGGTGTAGGTCCCCGGTATGCTGGACCTGGCGGGGGACCCTGATTGTCTTTAAAAATATGGAGAGGGTTTGGATTCTGGTCCACACTTTGCTTGAAAGAATTTGAAATATCTCTGCTGTAGTGTTCTGCAGGGCCTCGAGGTTGGTCTACAATCGGGGGTTGAGCCCCACGGTCACCGTACTGAGCTGGCGGGGGACCCCTGGGCCCTGGGAAGTGGGAAGGAGGAGGCAGCCGGTTTTCAAAGGGACTGGGAGGTGGCCCTGTGAAAGGTGGGGGAGGACCTCTGTTTGCAGGGAAATTAAATGGCGGTGGGGGACCAGCGAATCTTGGTGGAGGTAAACTGTTCTGTCCATCAAAAGGAGGTGGGGGGAGGCCTGGAGGGAGGCCTTGCTGTCCTATGTGCTGTTGGGGAATGGGGGGATTGAACATTTGAGGAGCAGGGCCTCTCTGGGCCATTGGAGGGAATGGTGGTGGTCCTCTGAGTGGCATGATGTTCTGAGGTGGAGGTCGAGGAGGCGGATGCTGCTGTTGCATTGGGGGTTGGGAGCCTGGCCACTGGTTCTGATAGGGAGGGTATGCAGTTGGCGGCGGACCATATTGCTGGCTGTTATCAACCGGCATGGGGAGAGGACCGCGTACAGGGGGAGGAACATGCATGGGTGGAGGGGGTCTCTGCATAGGAGGGCCTGACATTGGGGGGAGACCTTGCATGGGTGGAGGCATAGACATCGGAGGAGGCCTTATCATCACGCTTTGTCCCTGCATCGGATGGAGTGGGGGGAAGTTGGATGATGGGGGAATGTCAGCTGGAGCTCTGTACTCACTGTCATACCCGGACATGTGACGGGGCAAGTGATAAGGCTCAAGCGACTTGGGAGACTCAGTCATTGTTGTGTTCTGAGTGAGTACTGGGATTGTGGAGGTGTCATCATAATAACTATGGCTTGATGCATCTTGGCTGTTCTCCTCATAATCAGATTCTTCACTAGCTTTTAAAATACTGGCGGCGTTGGGCCAAATACTATACTTGTCCAGCTCAGTTTCCGCCTTGATTGGCTCAGCTTCCTCCGTTTTCACCTCGTCCTCAATCATGTAGTTTACCTCCATATCAGGTTCCACCTCCTCTCCTAATAACGGAATTGCTACCTCCTTCTCGTCAGACTGCATGAAGGGTAACGTCTCACTTTTCACTTCCTCGCGAGGCAGCGCTGTATCCGTGCCTGCTGAGGATTGTGGGAGTTCAGTTACATCTGATTGCACAGGTGCTTGAACTACAGCTTGAGGGAAAGGACCAGAATCCTCCATCAAAGCAGATGTTTCCTCTTGATCTTCAGGTTCATCCGACGGTTTCCGGCCCGACGCGGCCTGGCGAGGATCCCTGCTTTGTCGGGGATCCCGGTTTTGGTTGATCAAGGGAGTTACCGATGAAGACTTCACTAGCTCTTCGACCTTTTTGCCAAGCTGTAAGAGCTGAGTATTTGCCAAAAGAGATTTGGTAGGTTGACTAAAGAGTGTGTCGGAAAGTGACAATGAGGCTTTCCCCATAGAAGACGTGGGCTGTTCTCCCTGCTTCTGGAACACTTGCTCCCCGATCTTTTTAAGGTTCTCCAAGATTTTTTGTGGATCAGTTAGAGATTCAGTTGCAACCTGAACTTGACCTGGTACTACAGGTTTGACATCTTCAAAAATTGAGTCATCCTCTGGGTCATACGCCACATCGTCACATTCATTTGTCCCCAAATCAAACTGCTTAGAGACGTCAGGTTTGCTTACTACCTCAGCAGGCTTCTTAGGCGCACTGTAGCCCCGGCCTGGGTCATACTCCTCTTCTGGATCATACGGCCGGTCATCTTCATCTACCTCCACTTGTTTCCCTTTAGAACTCTGTGCAAACTGCTGCACAATAGGGTCTAGCATGCTAGTGCTCTGCATGGGGAGTTCCCCACCCTGATCAGACGGAGAGTTGGACGCCTCGGAGTCATGACTCTTCTTCCCAAAAAGGGTTTTGAGGATGGTCTCAAGAGGAGTAGTAGTTGCAGCAGAGCTGGATGATGATGGAGAGTCCTTGCCAGTAGTAGTGGAGGTACTTGTAGCTCTGAGAGAGGATGCAAAGGAAAGGACTGAAGAGGTGGCCACACTGGTGCTTGAGGTCTCAGAGGAGTTGGGTGGAGGTGACCCCGGAGGAGTAGTGCTGAAGGGGATTTTAAGACTCTGCCGTGTGCTTCTTTCTGTTCTGACAGAAGGAGATGGCTTTGGAAGGCCAGTGTCGTCTGCTTCTTTGGTTTGAGTCTTTAAGCGTTTCTCCTCCATCTCCAATGGTGCACCGCTGCGCTTTCGGTCCTTCTGGCAGATCAGGAGCCCCAAGAGGAGGTTGGGACGAGCTGGTTCAAGCCCTGTAAAACGGACAAAGAAAAATCTTAGTTCACATTCAAATCTTTGTCTAACTGATTCAAGACATACAGATCTTCTTTCAATTAAACTACTAAAATAAAATTATGAAGTATTTCTGACTTCAGGTGAAATGAGAGCCTCTTAAAATGTCCCCCAATAAATAAATAAAAAATGAGTTGCACAAATAGCTTCATCGGATATATAGACAAAGTTTTCTCCAACATAGAATTGGATGCTGTGCTGTTAGTGCTGTTAATTAGCAGCCATTAAAAGTGTTGAATTTAAAAAAAAAAAGAAGTGAAAAACATGTTGACTTTAAGTCAATGACGGTCAGCTGCAAATAAATATTTATCATTAGCCTTGCGTTCGGAATTGTAATGATTTTCTTTAGATGTTCTGCCAGATATAAATGAACAAATATAATCAGTCTTTATCATTCACTGACCAGTAACTGCACCTGGAAACAGCCAAGATATGACGGAAAGACAGACAGCGACATTTAAACTGTATTTAATTCTAGTCTAGTCACATGTACATGTCACATGTCACATTTACTCCTCCTGAAATGTGATATAGGTCACAGTAACCGAAAGCTAATCAATTAATAAAAGGGAAAAGAAAAATCTTGCATTAAATATTCTCTTTATCACAGCTGTATAACAGCAATATTGATGTTCCGTTCAATTATGTAGGAGCCAAGTCTTAACAAACAACAGGCTGAGACTGGACTCAGATGGCACCAACCTGCGATGCAAACTTCCTTTATTGGAAATGTGTGATACAGAGTCAGTTGTACAGGAGAGAGCACAGCAGCTGTTATATGCACAGGAGTGCGTGTAACTCAACATGGAATGTGAGTGCCCCCTACAGTACAAACCCATGAACCAACAAACTCTCATTTCAACCTGAGTCCTGCATTACACTAAATATACTCACCACAGACAAAAACAACACAACTTAACAGCACAATAAACAAGATGTGGCACAAGTGTCACCAAAAAGATTTTGCATCTCCTCGTAAACGCTTACCTGGCCCATCAAACGGTAAGAGTTTGGAGGGTAACGGGTCCTTTGAGCTCAGTGGGATGAGGTAGAGGTCTTTGATACGACGGTTGTTTTTAGCCACACCAAATCTTTTCCTGCTGCTGAAGTAAGAGAACAGAGAGACATACGCCACCTCCTCTTCCTCTGTGGCTGGATGGAAGCGGATCAGACAGAGCTCCTGCAAACGCACAGAAGCAGTATGTGAGCGATGCGAAGTCCTTGGAAAAAAGCAATTTTACACACTTTTATTCCTCTCCCCAACAAACCTTGGAGAGCGAGGTTTTGAGTTTCCCAACGTAATCCCACACGGTGCTCGGACAAATCCGCCCTCCGACGTGGATGACGTCTGGCAAATCCTGCACAACATCGACGACACAGAGTTAGAGGCTCCTGCTTACATCTTCCCCTAAACTATTCGGAAATCACATCTGAAGTGAAGGGTCCGCCCCGATCACCGGGCTAAATCGCTAACCTCTTTCAAGTGCTCAAAGGATCCTGACACCAGATAAGCCTTGGTCACAAACTTGGCCACAGATTGCATGTCGATCAATCCTCTCCAGATCTTCTCTTGACCGTGGAGGAAGATCGCTGTCTCGCCATCGGGAGGAGGCTCAGATGTACTGTGAACAAAAACACTCTTCCTTTTAGAGACAACCCCGAATGCCGGTCTCAGGCGAGTATCCCCCCTTATTGTATAGGGGGCTTATCAGAGATTAGAACAATGATGCTGGCAACCATACTGCACTGTACCACCAGCAATCACGTAATATACGTATTATTCATGCAATTTAAGAACTCTATTTTAAAAAATACATACATACTGCTAACGAATGTTATTCTAATGTTAATATATAGAAGCGGGAGGAGATTGAGCACCTTGCTTTTGCGGTTTTGGACGCAGCGACTAAAGGCGGCGGAGCCGGGGGCATCGGCAGCGGTGCCTTGGGTGCCACATCCACCAGGCCACCGACGGGAGCTGTGAGCGGCTCTGCTGAGGCGTTGGCGGGCTTCTCCGCAGCAGGGTAGCTGACGCTCACACCGGCGCTGTGCCTGGCCATGCGCGGGTCTCTGCGGCTGATGCTGACGGAGGACACGGTGGGCGCGATTGGGGTGGAGACCTGGGCCTGAGGTGCCAGCATACTGAAGTCCAGCTGCTGCAGCGATTCGGGGACAGCAGGCTCCATGTGGGTCGGGTAGGACGGAGGGTCGTGGTGCTGGTGAGCCGGCGGGACGTGCGCGTGGCCGGCTTGAGCCGCGTCCCCCGACCTCGACAGATGCTGCTCTTGTCGGGCGGGTCGAACGTCAGGCTTCTTTGTCAGTTTAGCTTTCTTGGCTGAAGGCTCATCTTCCGTCTTCTGACCTGGAGGGCGAGATGGAAGGAGTTGCACCCGTTACGTCTGTATACCAAACCCAACAGAGTTCACCCCCAGCCCTTGTCTCGTGCATCATATCCACCTGTGCATATTTTACAGTTGAGGTCAAACAGGTGAGTCCGGTGCTGAGAAGTGGTGTCTTTGAGCATGGTACCAAAAATGTCGAGCATTCCGCTGTTCCCCTCCGCAACGGAGGGCTGGGCCGAGGCCGAGGGAGCGGCGCCACCCTCATCTGGGTCCTGTGGACACGGAAAAGAGGACCTCCGTCAACACCGGAACAGAGGGCGGTCGTTCCCGTGACACACAGAATTCTGGATGGCTAATGTAGATGCGAGTGGGTCTGAAGCCCAACGGTGAGGAAGAAAGACAAAGCTTCAGTAGGAGAGGAAATGAACAGGATAGCTGGCGAGATGTGTAACCCGCCGCGCCTTGGCTACTAGGTCTACTTTGTCACGTGCAACAGTTTGTTAGTTAGCAAAGAGGAACAATGTGTGAAAGTTAGAAGAGGACAGCATGCCACCACTTACTGCAGCAGAAGCCATGCGAGAAGCAGAAGTGGCGGCAGAGTTACATACATCGGTGTCAGACGTGGGCGGGGCGTCCTCCATGTCCATGCTATGCGGGCCCGCATCATGCCGGTTGCCCAGTTTGGAGTGTCCCGAATGGGCCCTTGCGCCGGGAGACTGGCCCTGCGGGGGGGGACAACCGATTACGCTGAAGCAACACGATACATCCTGGAGGGCAGCAAGCTCTCTGGACCTGAAGGTGACCCGTGTCCGGTGTGTCAGCGAAAGGGAAGTAACATTTACCTCTGCAGCGTCCGGCTTCTTCCACTCGGATATCTCCTTGGAAAGCAACTCTTCCGCACTTAGTCTCACCAGTCTGAAGGGGCTGACCTCCCCGCCCACCACCCTGTAGAACAGGCCCTGAGGCAAACGCAACGGACGGGTCAGACCAACCGAGGCTCGTCACCTTGGAGGCGAATCCTTTCACATACGGAACACGGCCGGACAGTCCAAGCGCATGGATGTCCTCGTTGACTCACCTTGTTCTTGGGGTCTTTCAGGTTGAACATGAGGGACCGGTACTTGTTCTTGTACCTGCTGTCGGTGTTAAGACAGAGGTTGAACATTTCCTTCTCGATGGCGACCGACAGCTTCGCCACCTCGGTCTCCGTCTTCTTCAGGTCGTCACTGTCGCTCACCCTGGTGGAAAGGCACACGACAACGCTTTAAGAAGGCGGCCAGGCAAACAAACCATCGCACCTTTGGCGAAGGGGGGGGGGCTCTCACCTCTTGTAGATGATGTCCGTCAGCGAGCGGCGGATGTTCGTTCTCATCTGGTTGTTGGGCGGCTGCTGCATGCTGGACGCAGGGGGCGCCGACGCGGCCGAATGTGGCGGCCTGGAGGTCGAGGAGTGGCTGGAGGGAGCGGTGTGGATCGGAGATGTCGGTCCTCGGGGGGAGGCGGTGGACTTGCTCGGGGAGGGGACCTCCTTTTGCTGCGGAGCCTTCTTGGGAATGGTGAAGTTGGACTTGGTGACTCTCAGGGCTCCCGTGACGTGGATGGGACCGGGAGGGAAGCGGGAGGGAGCGCGGGCCGGCGCCTGGCCTGGTTTCTTTGACTTTGCTGCAGTTTTGCCGGAGGGAGCCGCAGGTTTCTTGGACACCTTTGAGCCGGGGGCCTGAGGAGAAGGCTTCCTGCCCTTCGGGGGGACCTTTGCTGCTTTGGCAGTCGGGGACTTCTTGTTTCCTTTGACCGGTGTGGGGGACGCAGGTAGAAGATCCTCAGGAGTCGGGTCCTTCTCTTTCTGTTCCTTCTCACTCGGCTTGTCTTCTTTAGGGGGGGCTGGAAACCAAGAACACAGATCAAACCTTTAATAAAAAATATATATTTAAACCACCATTTATAAGGCGAGCAGATACAACATGTAGCGGGCAAGTGTTTTATCACAGGTATACGTCCAATATCAGGAGACACTGCAGCATTGTTGGTCAAAATAAATGAATGTTACGCAAGTGTACGAGCTAAACACACTGCAATAAAACACAAAGTTGACAAGTGGGCTGTTAAAAGGCCCGTTTATTTGAAGCAGTGGATGGCAGATACATTATGTGCTTCATGTAGGTCCATTTGAGAAAAATATATATATTCTCAATAATTATTAAACTGGCATTATTTCAAATCCCTGAGTTAATCTATCACTACTACTCCATTCACATAGATCAGAAAGGAGATGTGGAACTGATGAGTCTTGTGCAAAATGATAAATGAAAAAAACAAAAAACTGACCACTCTACTTATCTCATTGCTCCTCAAAATGTTAAATTAAGCATTCATTACTATCAGAACTTTAACTACTAACCATTGCTGATGGGACGAACTGGGGACCCTAACAAGATCTGAATCTTACAAATGCTTCTTTCATTTCAGTAAAACAAGGTCCAAATGAGCATTACATTACTTCAAACTATATTAGTGTGACAATACACAAATCTTTCTACCAGTCACGCGCAGATAACAGTTCAACATCTTTTATGTCCAAGTTCCATGTTAAAGCGGCCTGAGAACAAGTATTATCCCTGAACTATACACCCAAGCAAATGCATGAAACAACGTTGTGCAGAGCAGGCGTGGTGTGACTGAGCAACCAAAGTCAAACCATCTTCTGAAGACTGTCACAACCGACTGATCAATGAGCCATGATTTCCTCCTGTTGATCACATAATCAGTGGACGTACTGAGAAGCTTTTACTGGTTAACCCTGGATACCGTATCAATTAAGAGGTCTTCAATGGCCCTTTATCATAAAGGAGAGGTGAAACCAACTGTCCACATTTCATTGCAACAAACGTTCCCCTCGATACATATCAGATCTCATTAGGTGCAAGATGTGTGTGGGCAAACTGCAGCGTGGGTCCCCCTCTTCTGAATCTGTGGTCTCAGGCTTCAAGCTTCTGCCCTTCTGGACGCCCCTGCAGTATCTCCAGCCCGTCCGGTTCCCGCGGCAGAGCTTCGTTCCTTTTTCTTTCTCATCTGCATTCTGGGGGCTGCCGGGTGTCAAGTCTCCGACGTGTGTGCAGATTTATCAGTTGCATGTTTGTTTGTAGAGCTGAAGCGGCTAAGATATCCTACAGCAAGTCCACATTGCTCACATAATCAATCAAGGCATCCTAAGATCTGTTATATCACCTTTTATTTCAAAAGCCAGTTTCCCACGAGCACTTCTGCATTATATTCAATATGAATCAAAAACTTTGAAGTCAGCCTGTCACCCACAAAGTCAAGGGGTGGGGGGGGGAGAACAAAGTTGTGCTTAAGAACAGTTCAATATGAACTGTTAACTTTATTAGCTCACAATAAGATGAGCAGATTTTGGGACACCTACCTGCTGGAGAAATGGAGTGCACCTTTTTAATGGGTCAACAGCTGAGGTGATGAACCCAGGAAGTGGAGAGACTTGTGTGGGCAACAAGAAATCATTCAAAAAAATACCCACTCACACCAGTCCACCCATCACACGTAGACATCTCACGGTAAAGCACAGGAGCTCTGACTTTTCAGACTGCGGCCTTCCTTGGAACTACAATGTGATCCTGCGGATGCTTTCATCTGCAACCCCGAACTCAAACTGAGGGGTTGAGTTTTGGGCTTTCAAAAAAAGTAATGCAACTCGGGAAACTTGTTTTTAGATCCCGAAAGAAGAAGAGTACAGCTGCAGCCTACACTTCCCATGATACTTCAGCAACGTCGTTACAGCCTGAATGCCTCAAGCTTCTGCCTTTGGTTAAAAAAGCAGGCATTGTTTTAATTCCCAAGCTGAGTCAACACTGGTGACATCACAGCCATAGGAGACATTATGCAATAGTGCTCACATGCTTAGTATATGATAATATTATTATTAAAAAAGGTGCAACCTGTAGAGTGCCTTCCTTTCCAAATGAATGTTCTGGATTATTGAATACTTACCAAAAGCCACAATCACCACTTACCTTCTTTCCACAGCTGCTAATATTTCACTGAGTGACAAAACCTTTACATAATCAAAATCACAACACTTTGCAAAACGCAGAGGTCACCTCCTGACACTCGTGTTTGTCTCAACACGGATCACTTCTAGAATTATGTTAGCACCACATCAACCGCATTTATAATAGTAAAAATAAACACTGTGGTTTCAACAACAGCCCCAGACCGTCAAAGAGATACATACACTTTTTGTTTAACACTGTTGGTGATATGGGTGTAGTCTTTTCTGGTGTCACTGCAATGTAATTATGGTCGCTGGACCAGGACGCAGTGGCCGGCGGGGGCGGGTGTTCCTCAGCATGCTCGTCTTCGCCGTCATCGTCTGGATCAGCGCTGTGGTCTTCCTCGCTCTCCGACGACTCCTCCTCCGCCTCCTCCTCCTCGGACTCCTCATCCTGAGTTTTCTTCTGCGTCCTCCTCCTGCCAGCGACGCTCTTCTGGGTGGACAGAAGGAAACACACATTCAGGCCTTTTAGGAACGGCACCCAGCGAGCAGCGTTTGATAACATTACAGCTCGCACGGAGACATGATTGACTTCTCCCAAGGAAATTCCACCAAATGCCCAGAAAATATGTACATGGGATACAAATGCCAATTAACCCTTATGGTCCAAGTGTGAACACAGTGTGCCCAGTATAATCCAGACTACATTCATAGCATTAGTGCAAAGGCAGAATTCTACTTGGCTCTGCAGGAAAATCTGGACATATTTCTAAGACAAATGTATGCAATTCAATAAATTATTTTAGGCAGGTCCATTTTAATGGTCTGGGGATGCAAAAGGTCCATTTCAGACCCCGACTTTAGAAACCTGCATTATAAAGTAAGCTCAACCCTGTCTGCTGGGGGTTTCAGAGTAATGAGCGCACATGGTTGCTAACCGGGGGACTGTTTAATTCATGTAGTTGCAGGTCAGTATTTGGCTAATAAGAGTGAGCTCACAATCTGAACTGTGCAAAACACTAATAACAGCAAAAGCAAGGATACTTACTATAGAGGTGGTCCTGTATCGTTCATATCTCCGTACCTACAGTTATTCCCCCCTGTGCGGCTACTATGACAAATATGAGTGACACCGGGCATATGAAATACCGACTAGGAATTGGAAACAATATAAATGTACCGTTTCTGTTGAATTTAATAAAACAGGCTTATCAGCTGCCATCACGAAGCTGAATCTGGATCATGAATGACTTTTACAACCCATAAAGTGGAATCTAGAAAAAATAATTTTTACTTCAGTAAAAATCCCCACGCATTCTTCAACAGCCGTGACTGGCTACGACATTTTACCTTATTGAAACCGTTAATAACGTGTTAATTCAATCTGCATGCATGCAGTGCTTTTGTCCATTTCCCAATCCACTGAAGTCGAACTGCAGGTGACCATTGGGATTCAATCGGTAACCGTGAGTCAGCTTAGAATTACACCAAATTTAGGTTGCTCACCCACTAAATGTGCCTGTTAAGCATCAAGCATTTGAGAGCAACAGTTAATCTTTCTGAAGCACTAAGATATAGACCTGAAAGTGGAATTAATACCTTTTTAAAATTCAGAATATGACAATCATAACCATGTTAAAAACAAGGTATGGATTGATGTACAGAAATTCATGTTGGTCTTCTGATGCACCAAGCAATGTGACATCAAAACACAACATTTTTACACAACACCCTCAAAAGATGATAAAGACTTAAGATCAAGAAGTCTGAACTTCACCCGTTTATACCTCTGCTACAACGCACTCCCTTTCTCATGGTGAACATAACAGGCCAAACTAAACATTACCACGGGGTCCAAGTTACCTTTGGTGCCGCTGTGGTCTTCTGAGCCTTGGCCGCGTCCTTCTGCTTGGGCTCGTCGGTGATGGACTTCATGGCTGCAGCCGCATGTCTCAGGATACAGCCGTTGCCGCAGTAGACAGAGTCCGGCTGGGCATTATTCTCACAGCCGGGCCCAATACATTTGGGGAGGGACGAGTCCTCGGCCTCCTTCCCCATTGGGGCCTCCGCCGTCGGTGTGGTCTTCACCTCCACGCTGGAGGCCACTTTCTCCTCGGCATCTGCCGCCGCCGCCTTCTGGTCCGCTTTGCCTGCTGCCTTCTTGTCGGCGGTTGCGGCTGCTTTCTGGCCTGCTTTTGGCTGCGCTGGCTGCTGCAGGGCCTGCTCCACGTCAGCACACAACAAAAAGAGCTAATGACGAGCAAATCCATTTTCACAGGGATTGCAAAAATAGAAGAGTTAATAAGCTAATTGATGCCGTTGCTAAACTTTAGCCATCATTTTCCTTACAAAGATTTGGGGATCTCTAAAAACAACGAAACCACACGAGCAGACGCCAATCACAGTATTAGCTTATGAAGATTAAATCAAAATGACAATATGACCTAATGACATTTTCAAATCATAGGAAGATAAAGATAAAAATATTTCAGATTAAATGTTATTGTACTGGGAGACATTCTTACTTACACATAATATCCTACAGACATACGGAACCTGTTGTTTCGTGCAGATCGAAAATCATACCATAATCATGTTTTTTAATAAGAATGGTGATTTATAAATAGTCCTCTTTTAATATTGGGAATCATATCGCAATTGGAACATCGAAATGAACTCGTTCAAAATTATTCACAAGTTAAGTAATGAAGCAATGTACTCAAATGAATGTAAAAATGTAACTTTTCAACCATTAAAATTCTTTAACAGTAACTGGTGAAATTAACCTAAATTTGGTGTAAATATGAATGTTGATGGCATCAAATATTTAACAATAGCATCATATTAACTTTAAATTAGACAGCACATTGCATAACACAAGTAACTAGTTAATATGGGCTCTACTGATACTATACATCCTAATGATTTGTATCGGACTGTTGTGAAATAAGTTAGATAGTGTTTTATTCTCTTTGGACCCGAGGATGGTTGAGCAGACGCTAAGTCCTTTGTCAACAATAAAAGACCTAGATTTATATTGCTTGACGCACAGCTCAAAGCCTTTAAGTTGAGATCAGTTGTAACCTACCGGCTGAAAGATCTTGATCTTCTTTTTCCCCGTTGGGTTCGTAGCTTTCTCTATCCGGCCTTTGATGCCAATGTCCTCTGCTCCCTTCTCTTCAGCTCCAGTGAAGGAAGGAGCGGCCGCCAAAGCCTGAACAGCTGCAAGACTGACGTCGGTTTTCTCGGCAGAGGTCCCGGCAGACAGCGTCGTGGCTTTGGGCTTCTCGGGATCTGTACTTGTAGAGAGGACGGACGTGGCTGGTCTCACCACCTGGTTTTTTTTGGCGGTGCAATTAGGGCAGATGTAGTCCTCGCCATTTCTCTCCATCAGGCGGCCGCGAGCCTCGGTGATGCCTACGCAGTCTCCGTGGAACCACTCCTCGCACCGGTCGCAGCAGATCATGAACCTAGAAGAGCACGGAATATTCATAGTGCCACACGTCTTCAAAGATTCACAAAAACGGTCTGCCGTCCCGTATGGAGTAGATTACAGATACATGTGGAGACGTGGAATCAGACAGTGGGGGTGGCTGACAAGGTGAAGACATACTATTAGCGTAGGCATACATGGCCAATAAAGCTGATTCTGCTATAATGAAATGCAGAAAAGGCCTAAACATTAGCATAATGCATTTTATTAAATTATTAACACTGGGCGCAGTAGACACAAGTCAAAGCATTAATACAGCAGCTAAGATATACAGTGAAGTAAAGGTGTCCAGAGCAGAAAATGAAATAGTTTCCGCTCCACTAGGCTTTCTTGACGGAGCCTAGTGTGCTTTGAGGGGCTGTTGGGGAACGCTCACACACACACACACACACACACACGGCTCTTTGTGCCGCACTAACATGACGCTTACAGGCGATTACGGCGTGGGCCGTCACACCGGGACAACACCGTTAGTTCTGACGCCACTTTTGCCGTAGCTTGCACCGTTAGCCGGGATAGCAGCCGGCTATGGCTCCGACTCGGCCACAGCCACGTTAAGAGGCAATAGAAATGCTCCAGATGTCGTAAATAGCACTTTAAAAAAGGACCCGTGTGTAAACTAGAGCTGGATCTATGGAGAGAAATGAAATGCATGTACATTACCTTTTGTTGTGTTTCTGCCGACAGATGCAGTAAAGTGCGTTGGGGTCATAACCTCCCTCGTCGGAATCGATGGATGACGATGACGAGGAGGAAGACGAAGATGTTGAGTCATTCTCATCATTGTCCTCTTGTGTTTGAGGCTTGTGCGTCATTGCAGCGCCTTGGGTGGCTTTAGGCTTGGTTTCTCTCTTGACAGGAGTGGGGACTTTGTTGCCGGCGGTAACAGAAGCAGCAGCTGCAGCAGCAGCAGACCCTTTGACGGGGTTTGCACCCTTATTGGCTGCTCTCTTTTTATTGACATATGTTCTTATCGGCCCACGTTTGACCAACAAGGCTGCAGGATTGTCCGGGCTTTCATCGTCCGTCTCATCGCTGGTCTCATCTTCCGTTTCCACTTTGTCATCGTCCTCAGCATGTTCGGCCTTCTGCTCGACATCCTCCTTCCTGTCAGAGTCCTGCTCTGCCGGAAGCTGCTCTGCGTTAGTGCTTACTAAAACTTCTGGAGCGAGAGAAGTCTCGTCTTTTGTCTCCATGTTATCCATCAACTCTTCTTTCTTAGCAGCGCCTCTGCTGTCCTCCTCGTTGTCGGAACTCCCCTCATTTTTAACAGCCGCCCCACCGCCGCCGCCTCCTCCTCCTCCGCCTCCTCTGGTCCGCCTGCCCCCCCGACCTCTCCTCTGGATCGGCTTCCTTGCGCCACTTCTCGTCCTCCTTTCTGGCGACTCCACCTTGTCCTCCAGAGCCTTGGTGTCAGCGTTACCGTCGAAGCTGGCCTCCGAGGCCGTCTCCGCGTCGGTCGGGGTTTGGGAAGGAGGGTCGCCGCTTTCCAGACTGGGAGGGGCACTTTTTCTCTGAGCTCTCTTGGCGGTCGAGAGGAATTCCTCTAGTTTGTCCGTGCGCTTTGGCTGCCTGCCGCTGCGACGCACGGGACAGCGGCTATCGGGACTATCGGTTGCCGCCTCCACTGGCATTTCTCGTTTTGCAACAGTTGACCGTCGAAAAGACCACGTCTTCTTTACTTCAGTGTTGGCCCTGGTGGATTTATTTTCAGGCTCCTCTAATGTCTCTTTGGCCACATTCTTGCTTTCTGTCGGAATCTGCTCTTCAGCCCCTTCTTCGAACCCTGTGAACAAACAACCAAAGGAGGCTGTGGGCAGAACAGATGGCATGCAACAGAACTACACAGCAAAGAATAAAATACTAATTGTTTTGTGATCAAACATACCAACAAATCAAAGCAAATCTGAAAATGATTGCGTGGCTACCACCCTTACATGTCCTACATTTTCACCCAAATTTAAAGTGATTTAAAACCGCATAGAACCAAAGTGTGCCCAGTAATACTACAAGGTCCCCGCCCATTTTCGTTGTGAGGGAAGAAGCTCAGCCAAGGTACCTTGAGAGCAGGCATCCATAGGGTGCTGACTCTGCTCTGGCTCAGGAGCTAGAGAGAGCTCAGGGCTCGCGTTCGCCTCCATAGATGATTGAGCCAATCACTACTTTCAAACAGATAGTCTACAGTTAAAAGAAGAGCACAAAAGACCAGCTATCAGTAATTCTTTGCATAATTTGGAAAATACTAAGAGGTGCCCGGTTTTTTATCAATTACGCAGTGCTGGGATGGCTCCATTTAACAAATGTGTAAATATACTTATTCCTATCACATCCCCATTCCAAACATGAACACTAAAGGTGTATTGCCACCATTCAGCAGAAGTTCAACAACTATTTGCCACCACCGATTAGCTGACCACCTTGTTACGGCTGCTACGAATGGGAAGAAAGGCTGCAATAGTAACGTGGAACTAAATTCACAAGCATCAGATGCTGAGGCTAGCACAAAATGAATACATCCTAATGCACTCAAAATATGACAGAATTTTCCTTGTTTTTTTGTCCATTTCATAGCTTTAAGAGACGCTCCAGTTCTTTCTAACCTACTGTGAGCTCATCTTGAAATAGTTGATAAATGAACCCGGCTGCCATTAACAAAGACATATAATTGCACAAATACTGTACTGGTGTATATTTCGGCCAATTGCAGAAAAGTTAAACATGGGAATTTGTGTTTGTGTTCACATCACATGCATACCCTCTATCTAATGCTGCAATAGAAGGTTGTCAGATACTGACACATTACCATTTCAAGTAGATTCAAACTTGATTTGTTTTACTTGGACCTCAATGTTTGTCATTTGTTTGTTTTGCCAATTGATTTGTACTTATTTTTAGATAATGCATTTAGGATCAGAACACCATCCTAATAATGAGGAAACAAGTACAGGACCATTTCCATTGTGGCCAAAAACTATTTGGAAGTGGTTAGTATATTGCGATTGGTTACTTACTATTGGTTACTTTAAACATGAACATTGTCCCACGTGAAACAATTCCCTAATTTGAGAGCAGATTAAAAAAAAGACGCCGTCTTTACCTGTGGTTCAGCAGCGATGATCAACAGTTGTTTTTCAAACAAAACAAAGGCCTTAAAGCAGAAATCATCAGTCTTGGTACAAGGTGAAAGAATCTGACGAGGAAAATAAAAAAATATATAGTTCAGCGAAGATGCAGTGAGGTCCTTTTTAAATAGTGAAAAGTAGCTAACGTGATGTTAAATTAACTGGAATATTGATCAATTCCACAACTGCTTCATTTACCTTTTAAATGTATACAATCAAAATATAAATACACCAAACAGATAGGAACTGGCACATAAGCGTTTAACCCATTGCATTAATTACTGTGTTGTTCAAAGTAACTGCAACTCAACGAACCAAAATATGCAGCAATTAGTAGCCAACTAATATAAATATTGCAATAATATAAAATACATAACAGTACAAAGCATGCCCGTATAACGGTCGTTATATACGCTTTTACATGAGCCTTGCACGGTACAACTAAACCAATCCAAACAAAGACCGAAGTGATTAAATCAGAATTCTTTTCGTGATCATCTGGTCACGACACCGTGCCACGTGAAGGGCAGGAGAACTGTCGCCACGAAAGGAGGGAGAGGCGCGAAACGAAGACCGGACATTAGAGTCCTGCAGACACACCGGGGACATCCACCTTCATGCGCAGACTCCACGGTGCATGTTGACGCACCGATGCTATGGTTGCATTTGGCGTGTGGGGGGTCCAGCGATGGCTGCTCGACCCCGGAAGAGGGAGGCAAGGGGCCTCGGGTGCGCAACCATATCGCTACTAAAAATATATATGTTCGATTCCAGTTCGAGTCATACCGTTTTCACAAGATCACCCGGTTACGGTGCACTAAACAGTCGGGACTAGGTAGGGCACATCAGACGAAAACTGTATTTTCGTGTAACCTCCTGCACACCGAAACAACCCGCGATGGCAACCTTCTAAACCTACTAAACGGCGCTCAACCGCTGTACCGTTAAACCACGAGCACGGTGGCCTAAATTGCGTCGCGCTGTTTGGAGGGGCACACTCCGTGTGATAACACAAACAAACATTTTAATGTATCGTCTCTTCGTTCTCGTCAGTTTTTGGGTGCATTTAACTATGCGTCGAAAAACGTGCACTCCTAGCAAGCTAGCGAGATGAGCTAACGCTATTAGCCACCGAGCATGGGCACGCAAACGACAAAAATCAACCCGTGACGTTAGCTTAACCGTCGAAACGTATCCACGCACAACGAAACCGTACAAGGGGATATATTCGTTATGTTTAAAGTGCCTTATCCATCTAACCAAAGCGAATGCTCGTAGTCAAATTAGATGGCGTAGTTTGGCTGTAATTTGTAGTTATCGCTACAGCTAACGCTAACGTCAGGCGCAGCATAGCCCCGAATACCCGGTGGACAACGCCTGCAACAACAAAACGGAGACATTGCTGTAGCCACGAAATTAGTCCACTCACATTAGCCAAAATAGTAGATGGTTGCCTTCCACCCACCTACACGCAAGAAATACAGATGATATGCCCTCGCTCTTCGGTCAGTCCTCCATTTTCCATTCCCGCTGGATCTAGCTAACTGACTGCGGCAGATGGCTGACGGCTTAGCGGATACCATCAGCGCGCCTGCAGCGCCGCCACTGGCCAGGAGGGGAACTGAGCCGCGACGCGCCACACCGCTTCTCCACATGGGGTTATCACCATAAAGTTAATACGTCGTCTCTAGAAGTCGTAGGTCGAAATTGGAATATTTGAATAGCGATTTACTTAACTTTGTGTGATGGAAACAGATTTGAATTAAATTGTAATTTGACTTAAGTCCGATCACTTCAATTATTTACTTAAGAACAGTCAGCGTGAAGCTGGCCTTATATAGTCTCATAAAACATACTAAAATATTGGGATACAAATTGCACTGACTGTGACCAACAGATTCTCACGATTCAGGATTTATCAACTGATCTGGAGTTTCAGAAGTTAAGCTTTCTCTGTTTAAAAACAATTTACTTACTACCCCTAAAATTGAGACTTTGCTTAACTTACTAATGCAGACTACTTCATAACTACTTTGAGCACAGTGTAACAGTAGGAACAATTTGTTTAAAATGTTTGTATTTGTTATTTTCTTTGTAGTATACAGCAGGCAACATTAGAATAACAAATAAATTAACATAAAATACAAAATAGGTATTTTACAGATATTTCTGTCAACAGTCTAATCTAAATCCGGGCGATCCATTAGCATGGGTTACACTTTTGCAGTCTAAAACGGTTTAACTGTCTTTTACAGTAGATGTATGTTTGGAGACACTCAGGCATGCTTTGAAGGTCTTCACACCGACAGCTCTCTACAGTCTGCAAGGCAGTGCGTGAATATGCAGTATACACTCCTTAAACCACCCTGTCTAGTGGTTGCTAACTAATCTGCTGTCAGTCTCGATTCCACATTTAAAATGACCACTGTGTACTGGGGACAGTATGTGAGCCCTGGAGGGCAACAAAAATATATAAATAAAAAATAATTTAGAATGCTCCCGTAACGGCTGCTTGAACAGAACAATTTACATAGACGTGTCCTTATTGTGGAAAAAAAAAAAGATCTATACACATTTACATTTTGCAGTACAGTAGACTTGTTCAGGATAAAGTGACAGGGGCGGCGTCAGTGCTCTTCTCCGTGTCACAGTCTTTGTCTGAGAGACACGCCGGCCCCTGCACCACCAGAGAGCTCGGGCCACTGCTAGTCTGCCCTAAACCTTTGTTGGGGAGGTCTGCGGTCGACTCAGCCTCGGACTCCTGCTGCGGGGCTGAGGCTACAGATAAAACAAAAAAGGGAAAAAAAATATGCATCACATCGAGGAAAATGTCAGGCGTCATGTGGTGATCATGCGGGCGAGCTAAAGACCCGAAGACTCGCAGGGTTACGAGCTGCCGTAAGAAAATTTTAAAATTTATTTTAAAAATAAAAAAGGAATTGATCCTAGCCTGTGTGAATGTCGTCATCGGCATGTTGATGCTCGCACGTGCTGTTACCTGACTGAGTGCAGGACTTCATGTGCTCTGGCCAGTGGGCTTGCTGACACGGGTAGTCACAGTAGCTGGTGTTCCAGCAGCAGTAGAAGATGGCCTCTTTCCTGCAGTTAGCGCACCACTGCTTCTTCTTGGTCTCGTCCACCGCCTGCTGCTTCTCTAGCTCCATCTGTTTCTTCACCTCGCTCACCAACCTCTCTCTCTCCTGTTCCAGACTTTGCCTCATCTCTGCCATTGTGAGCTCTACATTGAAGTACACGTGAAGATGAGCGAACACGAGTGAAACCCGTTACGTGCTTTGTAAGCGATGAAGACCGCGTGCAAAGAACTTTGCTGATAAGACGATCGCTCTCACCAAGATTGTGCTTCATTTCTGACAGCTCTTGTTGATGCAGCCACTGTAATTTTTCGATTTCGATTCTCAGTCGTCTTATCTGAATTGAAAGGCCATGGGTTAAGTTCAGTAAAGTGTCCCTTGCAAAGCCGTTGGTGAAGATCTGAACATTATTTGGTCTCCACAGTGCCAACAGCAACCACCTACCTCTGCTATTGTATTGCCTGAAGTACTCTTCGACAGGTCATTGTAGATTTCATTCATTGTGCCTTTGATTGCATCCATTATCTGAAAAGAGTAGAACATAAGTACTTCATGGATGTAACATGTGAACTACCAACACTTATCTGTGTTGGTAGTTCACAAGTCCCTCGTCTTCTTCAAGTTGTATATATTCTATTTTATTTCAAATATGCAATTTGGAGGCTAAAACTGAATCAGGTTATTGTAGACATCTGTGATTCACCTGTAATACACCAAGAGAAATACAGGAGAAATACTCCAAATCGCTTTCAGGGCTGATTTCATCTCAGTATTGTGAATGATCGGTCGGTGCTATGGTCCAGAGCAGGAGTCCCCGACTACTTGTTACCGGGTCGCAGAGAAAGAAAAATAAATCTGCCCTTTTTTCTAAAAAATATTTTATTTAGAAAATGACTAGAGCCTCTCCCTGTTACATAAGCTGGTCTTGACACAATTCCAAAGCGCCAACCTAGCGTTTTCTTTGCCCTCCATACCATATCATACCATAAAACCAAAAATACTAACTTTATTTGTGTACTTGGCAATGTCCGCAGCTGCGTCGGCCGAAGCAGTGGGGATATACAGGTCTGTTGCCACGGGTGATGACGTAGCAGCTGTGGCCATCATGGCGACAGCCGACGGGCTGCCGGACACCAGGGTGACGGCCGACGTGGACGTGCTGAGCGGGGCGTCTTTTTGTTGAACAGCTGGAATTAGAAAAAAACACTGTTAATCAGAAACATCAGGGCGAAAAAAAAACGACAATATTTAGCAAGCGATGCTTAGAAAGTGCACACTGTACATTTCACCATGTGCTGTCCAGTCCCACTTGTCATGTACCTTTAACAGCCTGTCTGGTCTGGTAGCGCGCGCTCTGAGACGACTGCTGTGCCGAGGACGAGGACACTGCCGCGGAGCCGGTCCCAGCGGCCTGCGTCTGGGTCGGCGCCTGGGCCTGCCCTTGCCCGGGGGACGACGCCGGGGCCTGCGCCTCTCCCGCCGGTTGCTGGTTCTGTTGCTGTCGCTGCACCTTCTGCATGTGCCACTTCTGAGAGGAGGTCTGAAACTTGGCGCCGGGGTTCCACACTACAGCCCTCTGCACCACCGGCACCGTCTCCCTGGGCAGCAGAGGACGCTGCTTCTTCAGAGCCGGCGTGGCGGAGGCCGAGGAGGAGGAAGACGGGGGTGTTGCGGTGGCCCCGGACACGTTCGCAAGGCTGATGGTTGCGGGCGAGGGAGTGGTGAAGGAGACCATGGTGACAGGCACGGCTATGGGAGACTGTGTGGAAGCGCTGGGGGGAGTGGAGGGAGCCGTGCTGTTCTGAGACGGGAGCGTTGACGTGGTCACGGCTTTCCCTGCAAGAAAACGTACGCGGTTTACCAGTTCCGCCTGGTAAAGCTGGTGATCTTTCAACTTCTACGTTGGCTAAACATAGACATCACACTGCGTGTGCGTTTGATTATTTCTCGTGGGACTCTCACCTTCAGTTTTAGCAGCGGAAGCCTCTTTGACGGAGGCGTTGTCCTTCCTGCTCCTCTTCCGGTCCTTGGCTCCCTGTTCCTCTCCGAGGTCAATAACCAGCTCTCTCTCCGAGTCGGAGTCCTCCACCGGCACGGCCTGCTTTGCCTCTTCTTTCCCGTGAGCCCTCTCCCTGAGACTGGGTGAGGCTGGAGGTGCTTTGGTCTTTTCTGGGCTCTCTTTTTCACAACCGGTGCTTGCTTGCGCTCTAGTCGGAGCATCTGATGCACTCGCGCTGCCGTCGCCTGCCGTAGTCTCGGATGCCACGTGCGAATCGGCTTCACCCTCCTCTTGGCTCGGGGAAGGTTGGTCTTTGGCTTTACTTTTGGCAGAGTCCTTCTGGGCCTCGTCACTGGGTGCCGCGTCCTCAGCCTCCTTGGTCTTTTGCTCGTCATCGCTGGCGTACTCACTGTCACTGGAGTCGGATTTATCAGAGTCCTCGGAGTCACTGTGTTCCACACCTTTGTACACGTCCACGGATATCTCATCGATACCTGCGAGACAAAGTAATAGGAGGGATGTATCACCCGGCATCACATATTCACATGACAACTTCTGCTTAGCAACTTTCCCAGTCGGGCAATGATTCTGCTGGCTATCCTTAAAGGTAATACTTTAGATGAATAAACTAGACATGCTATTTGCTTCAATGCATACTCCACTGACCCAACTGTGCCTTGCAACTCTCGATGGTTTTGTCCAAGTTCAGCTGGAACCGGCTCTTGATCTGTCTTTTCGGAGAGGTGAGGACCGGCGTGGCTCCTTGTTTCTGCTGAACCGTTTCACTAAGCTCCTTCAGGTCCATTTCCGCTTTGCTCCGATCTGGTAAAAAACACAGCGTAAATTAGTTCCGAGCGGCCGCACGTGCACAAGAAAGACTTTTGCTCACAGAGAACGGACATTATTACTGTTTCATGCATAATGCATAATCGCCAAATGAGATTCACCTAGATTGAGGTTCAGTATGCTTCCTGTCGGTGGTGTCTTCTCCTGCTTGGGACCACCAGGAGCTTGAGAGTGGAATGGTTTAGGGCTGTCTAAGGAACTGCCAGCTGGACAAGGTCGAGGATGGGCAGGTGACGCTGTAAAGAGATATTTACTGTCAAAGGAAGTCACCTGCGATCTATCGCTAAAAGGCACCGGTTGAAATACCTGTACAGTCCATGGACTCTTCTCCCGTGCTGTACTGGCTGTTTGGAGCCTTCGTCTGGGACTTGTCCGCCGTCTCCGTCTCCCCATCTGAACCGGTGTGGGCAGAGGAGTTGGTGCTCATGGGGGAGCGAGGCATGTCACTGAGGGGGAGTCTCCGGCCCGCCGCGCTCCCTCCCACCCCGGCCCCCGACAGCATGGTCCTGGCCAATGAGATCTTGGGGGAGGCCGTCATGTCGAAGCTCAGCTTGATCTTCTCCTGCTTGTCGGGTTTGATCGGGGTGGACGACGGGTTGGAGGGATCCAGCAGCATCTGGAAGTTATTGTCGGGGGTGTAAGGTGTCCTGAAGGGGGCATAGTTAAAGACGGCGAACTTCTTCCTCATGTTCTCCACGTAGACCTCCATCTCTTGCATGGCGCTGTTGAAGATGCTCTTGGTCTTCTTCACGGAGAAGGGAATCTCTTTAGACATGAGGTAGCAATTGTTTAAAGGCACCCACGCCCTATGGGAGAAAGACCCACATTGTGAGCAAAGAGGGATATGTGCAAAAGCAACCGAGTGACTGAAGCACACAGGGCTGCTACCTGTCATGCTGACCAAAAAAGCGAGCATCCACTTGTCCGTCTTTGTCACGCAGAGCTTTAGCAGGCCAGAATGGAAATCCCTTCAGTTTGGCCCACACTAGAGGATGTGGATTACTCTGTGGACAGTAAAAATTAAGTTAAATTGAGTAAGTGGATGTCAAACTGGGTAACAGTCAGGCGAAATCATTGACAGAAACGCCAAGTCACTCAACTAGCTTACACAAGGCTCACAGAACCAGTTGTCTCTCTTTTGGCAAGCAGATAGATAACACTCGGGACAAACTTCAATCTCATTCATCTGCAATTAAAGAATCAGAAGACACAGGAAATTAAGTTTCAGCCGACACGTCTGGTGTTTCATTGAAGCAAACCTTCTACTCACCTCGTGCTCACAGATCTTTACTATCACTTTAGCTGTAGCCGTGAGTTTGTGATTGCCTGAAATAAGGACATACATTTGTGTTTAAATACACCCTAGATATGTTGATAATTCAATGAAATTGTTCCAAATTAATTTAATCTGATGGATCATTGTTGGATGTTGTTGACATACCTCCATTGTATATAATGCAGTTGTGCAAAATCCATTTGGCATCTGCCAAGAAGGCCTCTGTGCAGCCATACATTTTTTTTTTTATATTCTGTGGGGCAAACAAGAATAACAAACCTTCAAACCTTGTTACATTCATCCTACCAGTGAACAATATGTGAGAGCTCGTGCTTCACCTTCTCCAGTGTGCAAAGATCCATCGGGTGAAAAATGTACTCTGCGTAATCCGGGTGCTGTTCGAGAGAGACGGGCTTCTGGAAGGGTTCGGTCTGCAGGATTGAGTGGACAGAAAAGAATGTGAAGGGAAATAAACTCTTACTGCACAACCTCCCCCTCTAACGCACAAGGACATGCTACCACCATGCTACTACTAAGAAAAAGAAAAAAAAGCCGTATCAAACAAAAGCGTGACAACCAGTGGATGAAGAAATCATGATGGGGTCTTGTTAGTGTTGTAATTGATTACCCAATTAAAAGTCTTTCTCTGCGTGGAAGCTGCATGGGGGGAGCGAGATGACAAGCGGGGATGATCCTGAAAGAGAGTGAGAGGGGCAGCTGTATCCTCACCACCAGCTAGCATGTTCACCTTCATGGTTTCCAGCCTTGACAGGCCCAGTATAGCACAACGACTACGATTGTTAGTTCGGTTATCAGAATCCATTTTTGCACATGCAAATCAATAATTCATCATGCTGGACCGAGAGGCAGATCTTTGGGGTGCAGATCTTAACATCTGGCACGACTGATGGGAATATGATGGTTGCATAAGCAGTCTACAAATTAAGATCCAAAAAAGAGCACATGCCAATAGCTAGGTGATAACTATGAATGTTCATTTAGAAAAGGCAGCAATGAGAATAAACAGTGTACCCCATCTGTAATTAGACCGTCTGCCGCAGCACAATGCAATCGGTTTGGTAGCACGAATTCTTCAGAGTACTTACACCTGGCTGTTTCATCTTCTGAAGGGCAAACTTTAGTAGGTAAGACAGCTGCTCTATCGTTAGCATCATCATGGCTTTGCTCTGAGTCTCTATACACTCAGCAACTGTTATTTTCTGAAAGACATCAAGAGGAAAATATTTGAAAACCTTCTTCTCATCCCAAAATTGCACAGAACATCAATATTAATACCGGTCACTTGCGTCCAAACTTACACAGAGGCCCCCGGTGAAAAACTAAACACGTATTACTGCAGGCTTTGAGCTATGTCGTACAAGAACCCTACACTGCGCACACTCCTGGGCGAGTACCTCACACTCCGGACAGAACCAGTCGCCCTCGGGCTCGGCTGGTAGTTTGAGGCACTTGGCGTGGTACACCCTGGGGCAGAGCTCACAGCAGAGCACCTGGCCCTCGCGGTGGCACAGCCAGCAGTAGAAGTCGTTCCTGCCGTCCTGCGGTACAACATCAACAGGGTCTGTTGTGAGTGCTGGCTGCTTCACATAGTAAAAGGGACCGTGTCTTAGTTCTGACTGGAATGCAGGCAAAAGAAAGACAAAAGTTGGGGAAGGTCAAAATCAGGCCAGAGATTAACAGAGCCAAGCAGGCATGCACAGCATGACAATTGAAAAAAAAGGCACACGTATTGCACACCGACTGGTTTTTAGAGCACAACCATTACCAATGTGCAGGAGGGTCAACGGTGTGGACGACCTTAATTAAAATGGCATGGGTTCGTTGCTACGAATGATTTACAAAAGGTCATTTGTAAGACACCAGCAATCATTTACCTACTGTGCATTTGTGAACTGCTTTACCCATTAAGGACGCACAGCATGCACTTGGCACTTTCCCAGATTGCAGGGAATTATATTAAAAGAAAAGCATTTTAACTGATAGCTAACTCTCAGACTTTTACCATTGCCAGAAGAATCCAACGCTATTAAACAATTGCATAAAAATGTACGACAACAATATGAATTAATATGAGCAGAAAATCCTAAACATAACACTTTCAGTGACATAACTTGCCAATTGGCCAATAGTGCAATAGTGCAAAGAAGTATTAAGAACTCGATGGAGCTAAAAAGAGACAGAAATCACAGGGTAACCCCTGGTATCTTCTAACAATTTCACAATATTTCACCACTGATAGATGCAGACTTACAACACTGCAGATATTCAACAACACGTAACAAAGTGCAAAGAGTCATGAGAATATTTTCCACTTTTCAAATGTCAAACAGCCATAAAGTACCACGACAAACAAACAAATCACGGTCAGTAAGAATTGCTGAAACGCAGCTGCCTTAGTAGGTGATAACAAGTCGTCCCACTGATAACTGATTAGCAACGATATAAAGCAGAACACAGCAGCGAGTGGGGCTGTAGCTTCCAGATGTGTGTTCTCCCTACAAAGGAGCAAGAATGCTCAATGAACCTTATAAACACGCAGGCTTTGTCATTATCATTCCCTGATTTTAGTTGTTTTTTATATATTTGCTAGTGTTATATTTAAAAGTAGATTGTATCCCTCCAAAATATGTTGCTGAAACAGGACAGTATTCATTGTAGTTTACAATAAAGGAAGTTGTTCTCTGTCAACTAAAGCTAAGACACGTTCAGATAAATTCAAAGAAAAGTAATGCTAGCAGCAGACTATACAGTAATGTCCTGCAAAATAAGTAAAAAATTAAATAGAGAGCTCTAGAGAAATATTTTCCTGAGTGAGATTCCTGTACAGATGTTTGTGTTTCTGATTTCTGCACTTTTTTGTTGTAGAAAACTGCGAAATAAATGTGCAGCAAAACCAAAACAATATATTTGTAAATCTAATGTTTTCAATTTGATGCATCTGGAGATGAACTTGCCCAGAAGAGATCAAATAATGTTAAATACGTAATGGCACTTAATAGGATTCAGTTGAAATCACTGAAGGGTTTCATGATGGTGGCAGCAGACGTCTCAGTCCTTTAGCGGGTGAAACCAAACTTAGAGCAGCAGAATAACTTTTTTTTTTCATTTGATTCGTCTGACCCAGAGAGACAACTGCATCCCTTTTAGGCCTGAAGCTTCACCTCATGACGAGACAAAGGCCTTCCAGCGTCGAGGCCTAGTGTCTGAATACCTGCTCACTCTGACGACTGTTACCTGGTCTTTGCTGCTGCTAACAGCACCCGGTTTCTTCTTCTTCTTCACGGGGCACGGGGACGTCTCGGCAGACGAGTGACCGTTGGATGACCGAGCAGGACTCGGCATCTTCCGTTTTTGGGTGACCCGCTCTGTAGACCCACCATCTGCACAGGAAAAGGTCAAAGAATTGCCAAAAGACGTCAGAAGGCTCACAGTTACTTTGAGCGGGGAGAAAACACCCGAGACGACACAGTTCCCTTCCCTGCACTCTCACTACTGGGCTAAGCCAGTGAGCATTATGGATTATTTAATATCAGACAAAGACAACCACAACAAACCCCCTTACATAATATCCACAATCAGACCTGTGTGCTCTTACCCTTGGATCGCGTTGAGATCTCCATTTCTTCTTCTGTAATCTCAGTTTTCTCCTCTTCCTCTGGCGCACTGATGCAAGAAAGAGCATCATGAAAGGTTCACCCGTCAAACAGGACCTACAGACGCTGTTGCTGTCGTAAAGTCGAGGTTGTTGCCTCACAAAATGCAAATCTCTTTCTCTTGACATGAATATAATTGTGCTTAGAATTTGGCACTTAGCTTGTAACAGAAGCATCATACATTCCTACCAACACATCAGACAACTGTCTTCAACATTTCTGACGTCAAAATAAGTTATGCTACATGAAAACACTAAAACGAGTCTCCAAAATACCGTATTCTAGAGAAGTTGTTTTAGAGGTGTAGTGACAGACTGGTATCGGCAATAACCATGCTACTGATAAAATGTAATATTGATATAGTGTTAAACAAATACACATTTGAGGTGGTGTAAACAGTTACAGACTCACTTCCATACACTAGTAGTTTGAGTGTTTTTAAATTAACGGATTTAACCGACGGCATTATCATACGATTTTTTCAATAGATCACAATATCATCTATATTGTTAAATCCTATGGCCACAATACCTGTGTAGTCAAAGCTGGCATTTTGACAGCCACATACGACTCAGAGATTACTGATAACGTCACGTGTCACTCAAAGCACACATCAAAGGCGTGAAGACACGGATCAAAAACTGACTCAGACTACATTTTCACACAAAAGAGAACCAACAGTGGGAGAAACGCAGCTCAAAGTGCTGGGCAGCTAAACAACAAGCGCCTTCCCCCCCCCGTGACCACATATCTATAAATAGTAAACATGACAACCCAGGACCAAAGAATCGGCAGCGGCCCGACCTTCTGACAGGCGGAAGGTTCCCTGCTGTAATATTCATGGATCACGTGACCCAGTAACGGGCGCAGTCCGACCCCTTCTGAGACCACATCCTTGGAGATGCGGGTTGCTGTGAGCCGCTGTCTGTTCCCCGATCTGCCCAACAGGTTTTCCCTCAGTATCGGTTGAGCGCGATTCACCTGGGTTAGCAGGCGCCCTGCTGTCGATCCTATTATCACTGCCCTCCTCTCCGACGCACCGGCCTCGTCTCCTCGATTCTGCCAATTTCTCTTTCACTTGAGTCCCGAGAAGAGGAAAACTGATATGTATATGTGTGAAGAATAGGACGGGCATCTGCTGAGAGCAAAAACTGCTCCTCTCCTCCACCCCCCCCCCCCTCCTTCCTCCTACACCTTCTGCTCCTCCATCACTGAAAGGAGGATGAAATATCGGACTGGAGCGGCGTGCAGTGAACTGGCTCCACCGGCCTGCTGGTCTAACCTGTCTGGACAGCCTCATGCAATCTACCCCAGCAACATCCTGTCCTGTCCGGGGCAGGAAACACAGCCAACAGAAACAGAGACAAAGAGAGAGAGAAAGACGGGGACAGGCACGAGGACAAAAATCAATACCACTCAATCCTGACAACGACATTTCAAAAAAGCAAAGAGACCCACAGAGCAGACAAGCAGCCTGCTGGAGCCCACGTAACACCCCCCTCCACACCCACCACTACATCCATGCCTCAACGTAGGAAATCAACAAGCATACCTGTTCTTTTTCCTCTCTCTCTCCTTACTCACATACAGATTCTTCAGCCTATTCTTTAATCTTTTTCAATTATGGAGGGCGAAGGGAGGGGGAGGGATGGGGGGGGGGATGAGGGAAAAGATGGGTCCAGGTTTCCCAGAAGGCCTTCTCTCCCTGCTGCTCTCTTCTGCAATTGTCAATCTTTAACCTCGGCTGCGGGCTGCCGATTGGCTTGAGCACCACACGGAGGCGTCTGATTGGGTGCTCGGCCCCCGGCGTGCCAGCCGGGCTCCCTTCTCCCCGCTCTCCTCAGCCACAGTGCTGCAATGCAGAGAGCACTGCTCCTCGCTGCCGCTGCCGCTGCCGCTGCCGCTGCTCGCAAAAAGGAAGAGGCAGAAAACCCAGTCTGCCCCTCTGCTGGAACCCCCCCCTTGTGCAGACGTGCGGCGGCCGTGTTCCTTCTACCAGACGTGTGCGGCTCCTGACAGGGAGAGGATCGGACTCCCTCCCTCGCCGTGCTCTCAGCCGGTGTATGTGCACGGCATCCATTTTGAACACACACACTCACCCCCCCCCCTCTCTCTCTCTCTCTCTCTCTCTCTCTCGTTCACTCAGACCACAGTGCACGCCGCGCACACGGCACATTCACCACATGCAGCTTATTATGTGCCCCCCCCCCCCCTCCTCATGTTGATATGCAGCATGGGCCTACTACTGGACACAAAGAAAGGGCTGGAAATGTCACGGGAGCTTCCCAGACAGCCTGGACTCCCCCCTCCCACCCCCCCTCTCTGCAACGCTTCCTTAACATGTACTGTCTCATGATCAATGTCCGCCCGGAGACGGCAGTGTGAGCGGCAGTAAGCCGAGAAAAAACGTGCATAAACCCGCTGAGAGCATCGTCTAATCGCAAGCTCGTAAATGCACACGGTTAAAAAAAAAAACAACGACACATATAGGCAGAGATTTAGTGCCATCCACGGCAGAATGTCGAGGCCAACTACGTTATCTACGCGGGTCCACGAAGGTCAACTGGTGGACATTTGCAAACAGGCGGCGTGCGTCGGTCCGCTCAGATCCTCCCGCCGTAGTGGAATGAAGGGATTAGACAAATTACCAAGCACCATTCACAAAACGCTGAGGAGGAGGACTTTATGCTTCAGTCAGACTGCTGCTGGACTCTGGTCAAGCGCCGTTATGTGCGCCATTAAATCAAGGCCGTGGTTCTCCTGGTTGTATTCGAAACAGAGACTTTATCACACTAGAAAGGACTAAAACCAACCAGACACATTCTACCTGGCTGAGGGATTAGAATAATATTATTGCTGAGGTGGCGGAAATTCCGATTCTGCAACTAAATTAGACATTTAATCGGATTCATGCATGCAGAAAACCAACACCCACATCTATGCACATATATCTATATATGTGCATATATCTATATATGTGCATATATCTATATATGTGCATATACATACACAGATATATGTATATATATATAAACAGAATTCAATCTAACCTTGTCGACTTCAAACAGGCTGTGAAGCCTCTCTGGATGAGATGAGGTTTCTATGCAGAGCCCTTTCAGAGGAAGTCCTTCCCTCTTCTTTCCTCCTCGCTCACATACAAATACTCAGTGTGCTTTGGAGCAGAGGGACAGAAAGGGGAAGCTCTCTAAAATGGCTGACAGTCGGCAGCAGAGAACAACGCGGGGAGGCAGTGCACACCATTAGGCACAGGCGATTCCTCCAAGCTGCCACGGCATATTCACGCCGCACATAATCGGCATTTAGGGAAACGGGTGAGCGGCTTACAGGTTTAGGCCGGGGGGGGAGAAGCGTTGGTGTTTATTCACCCAGTCGCAAAATAAAGAAATGAATCAAGGTGAGGCGAAGTTGGTTTTAGGGGATTGTGGGAAATTAGACGACTAGATTTTTTTTTCATCGCCATGTGGCTCCGGCAAACAAGTGCAAACGCTGCCTTGCTTCTCTGTGTCATACGAGGCCTAAATTAAACTTGCTGTGCTGTCAGTTCACCATCTGCTAATTCCTCTGGGGAGTTCCCTCTGCACCGCTCCCCGTCTCTCCCATCCCGCCCGGGTCCCTCGGCAGGCCGGCATTCTCGAGCCCACAGGCCAGGAGCAGCCACAAAAGCTCGATCCTCTTTTGATCTTGAGAAAAGAAAGCAGGTCATAGTCTGTGTCCTGTGTATGTAAAGAAACCACCTCACACTTAACCTGTGGTCCAGACAACCAACCAGCCTGCAGAGGCCGTGTGCTCCCATGCTACGCTCTCCTTCTCAGCTGCAATGCTATGCTGTGGGGTGACAAACAACCCCCCCTCCTACCCCCACACACACAGCTTGTCAGACAAACCTGTATTATTACTCAGGCACGGGCCACACACAGTGGCTGCTGCCTTATCAGCAGTGTGGTGTGTGTGTGTGTGTGTGAAAGAATGAAAATAGGTGCTTACCTCTGTGGATGCATGGCTACAAACTCTGTGTGATATGTCAATGCTTATTAAAACATGGAGGACGGCCCTGTCAGCCCCTTCACCCCCGCTCAGAGCAACAGCCACGGCTCTCCGAGCTGTCCGGCTCACCGCTCCGATGGAAGGCGCGCAGAGACTGGCCGCGCTCGGCGACAGCATGTAAGGCGGCTGCTGATTGGCCGCTGCATTTCCTGGTTGCTTGCCTTTCATTTAGCACAGGGGAGCTAAAGCGCAGCGCTCGGAGCGAAGGGCGCTAGGCCCGGATCCAAGCGCTCAGCCCGCGCACACCTATGAGCAGGCAAGAAGGCTGCACACAGCTGTTACTGCCTGCTAAATGTGCCATGAAGTAGCTGCAGCTACGAGGGGAAGACGGCAGATGTGCACACAAAGGACAGGCCTGTGGCCTGTGTTCTTTAGGGGGAATTTGCCTCTCTGGTTCCCACCCTCAAGCTCATGCAACCGTCTGCAGGGAAGACCCAAACGGCTTGATGAATGGATGGAAGGACTAAACAGGCAATGAAGTAAATGCATACTGAGTGACTTTGGCCTATGAAGGTTTATCAACCATTCCGAACATGCGGACGGAAGTCATGTGATTTGCCTGAAACTGTTGCTGCTGAACTGGTGTGATCACATGTTGACAGGGTGTTTCCACAGTGATACTGTTAAAGAAACAGTGACTTTCAGTTCCTGACGCAACGCTCCAGCGCGGAGCAAAATTCAGTAAGATTTGCAATGATTTAGAAGAAAATGTTGGTACCTCAGGAGTATTTTGGAAGCACAGATCGCCTACATTGGCTGCAACCGTTTGCCATTTTAGAGGCTTCTTGTTTTGTTATTTTGTTCGGTCTTATCTAAATCATTAGAAAACATGATCTTGTATACAAACATTATTACAGATCTGAACTCATCTTTTGAAAATACATGTTGTCTCTTTGGCAAACGTCTGGCAATGTTTTCTCACAAAATCATTTGGTTATTGAAGCGAAAGCATTTTTTCAAAGCGTTATATATTTGCCTTTAGTTACACACTTGTGTGCAGATCCATCACACAACCTGCATGACCCAGAGAGCTGGCGAGCAGCAGGGAGGGATTTAGCGTCTCGCTAAAACGACAGACATACATGCACCGAAGATTAATGGATAAACTAGCAAAGCAAACGACATGGCAGCAGCTACACTTTACACCAATTTCACGCACATTAGTAATGACAGCGCTGCATGAATGTTTAAAGGACAGATGTTTTCTCCAAATAATTTTGTGCTTTTTTTTTAGGCATTACTTTTTGGGACTTAAAACTGTCCCTGGCATTGAGGATCAAAGTGTTCATTATCAAAAACTAGAAAAAGATTTATGCTGGAATCAGTTTTTGTGCCACTTAGCAGGAATGCTAAGCATCAACTGGCCTCTTTTTCTATGGGAAGAAAGACAACAGCGACCTCTCGTGGCAAAACCTCGTAACAGCTCAGACCACGTTAAACCCACAGATACTTCACAAGTTTATGTCAAGAACCGCCGAATAAATAAACGAACCAAGGAGCCCATTCAAAGAACTCTAACACAACACAAAGGGGCCACCAGATTGGTGCAAGAAGGGAAGGCGCATACAATGTTGCTCCTGCGCAAACTGAGGCAATAACAAAACAGGTCACTTCGCGTTACACGCAGCATATTAGCGCACTTCAGTGAATAAATTCAAATGGGTGTAGGAGGAAAAACCCATGAGGTGGAAACTGCAAATGGTCGGTCACCTATGTCGGGCCCCCGCAGGGAGACGCCCGTCTGCAGACGTCGGCCGGGCGGCTGAAGAAGGGGGTCGACTCGTAACGAGCCCCGCAGTCCCCAAGATGGCGCCCCATGGCGAGACTTCCCTGCTCAGCGGCTCTCGCGTGCTCCTTGGATTCAAGGCCTTCGATGCAATGCACAGATATGTGGTTCCAGCAGACTGCTCTGATGTGTTTTTCTCGCATCCAAACGCTCCTTTCTAATTTACCAGCATCAATAATTCTTTGTTGTCCTGTTAAGTAGCGATGACCTTTGTCAGAGCCGCAGTGGAGGAAGTGATACAGTTAACCTGCATTCAGCAAAACGTGTCTTACACCATTGTTTAAGAATTAGGCACGAGTCTTTGACTTAATAACTTCTTAAAAGAGGCTACATTAATGTTTTTGTTTGTTCGATCAAACAATCTGAATCATTATCTGGTTACCAAAGAGAAAAAAAAACATAACTGTGTTTGCAGTGACTTATTTCACTAAATTATACTTGTTACGTATCTACATGTTTAGATCCAGGATCATGGAATCTGCTATTTTTGTTAACCTCGATTTTAGATTTCAGACTATTCACTGTCAGTGTGTTGTCATAACTCAGGTTATAGCTGGTAACGCAATGCAAGACGTGTTTGTGCTTCATGCAGCTGCATGGTGTTGGGAATGTGGGGGGGATGGGAATGGGATTGGAGAAAAGAAAGGCATGCCATTTGCTGTTTGCAGGTAAACTAATCTGAATGCATTAATGATTATGGGGCTATCTCCTGTCCTTTCAAACTGTTATCTCCTGTCCTTTCAAAGTAGAGGGGCTGAGTAGGGAGGGGGGGGGGGGATGGGATGAAGTGTCTCACCCTCATTGAGGGGGAAGGTCAGTTTGCCGTGTTTTGTGGGGGAGGGGGCACAAACAGAGGGCCAATGGGCCCCTCTTCGGGTCTCCGTGGAATGTAATTGAGGTTCCCTTTCTCAGGAAGACATGCAAACAGAACAAAAACACCCAACATATGAAGCAACGGGGGCTTTTTTTAATGTGGTTTACTTCATGATTTAATGAGCCAACGTTAGCAAACAATCTACCGGATATGGATTAACCTGTATGTCATCATGCTTTGCCTCAATAGGGTGAAAATGCATGTGTGGGTTATTACCTTTTACTACCAGTTGTGTTACACCTTTGGGAGCATGCCTACGCAAAGTCTGCCAGCGCCAGCTTTTTCTGATTGCATTTTTATAATCGGCTGCAAAGACATAAAATGCTCAGACTTAAAATGAACCTCCTCAGCAGCTTTATCCAAGGCAACAATGCTTTTCATTTTTTTCCACCTCAAACTCGTTTTGTGTGAGGTGGATTGCTGGAAGTTCAGTTAGGAAAGAACAAGCAAGGAGGTAATTAGCTATAGTTTTGAACTCTGCCTCTTCTCTTCTCCCCCCCACCACGTCCTGCTGCTCGGCCTCCATCTTTGGCCCCCACTGTCTCGCTCACTACTAGTAACATTTCAAAATGTGTGGGCCTGGGGATCACCAGTGGGACTGTTTCTTCCATCCTCAGTTTGCTACTCAGGGGCAGCCTCAGTCCAACTGACACTGGACTCTTTGGGGCATCAGGCATGACTCTCAGTGGCGCTTGACATATTAAGGTATTAAAAGGCATAACCTGACCGTGTGTTCTAGTTATAGAGACCATATATCATATTTGGCATTCATGTTTAATGCTGCATAATGCAGGGCTTATTACATACCCTGAACACTCTGTCTAAATGCCTGGCAATTCGTAAATTCTTAGAGAAACAATATTTGAAAAAATACTTTTACACTGTTCTGTTAAAAGTCACCCCCGTACAATCTGTACATGTGTCCGTTTGCTCAATTCCATGTCTTCAAGTCTCTTCTATCTGTGAAAAATATAAATTGTGATTTATTCGATAACAATCGAATAACGTAGTACCGTAATATTCTAGCGGCATGATAAGTAATTAGCACAAAGCCGCTTTTATGGCAGCCTATAAATAAGTTTTAAATCTATCCCCTAATAACATCAGTCACTGCTGCTCACATCGCCGACGGGTATTGGTGCGCGTGTAGTTCGCTCACAGGAGGAGTCCTGCAGTTTCGGCGCAGCTCGCGCAGGAAAGCGACACCATTACCCACAAGGCACCGCGCTCCGCCACAAGCTGGCTCCCTCCGCTCTGGGAGTGTTTCGCATTTAAACAAACACGGTCCTGCTGAAGATGGCGGAGAGTTTGTAGAGGCGTCAAATAAACTGCTCCACTCAATGAAAACATCGCAGCCGGTGAGTTTTCTGCAATTGGCGCACGATTCGAACGTTACCGAGTTTAGAAACGGCGGCGGCAGCGTGTGTTTTGACCGTGCACGTCCGAGCCGCGGGGGCAGTCGGTGCCGCTCCGCTCGCCGGCGGGCTGCGGAGGGGTTTTCGAGCCGCGGCGACACACAACGAGCCGCCTCACCGCTTGTTGTGGAATGCCTGTGCGTTAAAATCACCGGCTACCGGGAGTTGGCAAGACCGGGCAAAGATTCGCGAGGAGTCTCGCTTGTTTGTAGCGGTTGCGGTGTGTTTTTTTAAATTTGTTTTTATAAATAAAATGATTTCCATCATCTGCTAGCTTCAAAGTTTACGGGACTCGGGCTCCGCTTGCTGCGGGGCGACAGTCGAGCGGTTAGCCGGTCACACGCATCCTCCGCGCGGGCAGACCGAGTCGGGGTTTTGAGTGGAAATGTGAACTTTGCAGAGCCACATGGTTGCGTTCGCTATCACACAGCACGGCCGGGTGGCTGTGTGTGCTGGTTTGTGTGTGTGTGTGTGTGGCAGGTACACGGGGCTGCAGGACTCTGCTAACGTTGGTCGCACCGCGGTAGCAGCCTTGTGTAACGAGATTAAAATAATAAAAAGCTGTGTTGCTTGTTTGTCGAGTCTGCGTCGAGAGTGTAATGGAAAAAAAGGTGCATTTCGCATGTGGCATCATTTTTCTTTTTATTAAAAAAAAAATCACACTAAGAGTGAAACACCATCTAAACAAACAGGCTCACGTAGTCCAGTCACGTGACCGGCGGGACGCGCACCATCGTCTGTTTTCGAAGAGGAGGAGGCCGGATTCTCTCGGTGACTTATACATATTTATGACGTCACCCGGCTGGCCAGGTCACGCACGACCACCTCGCGTATTCCCACTGACCCCCGTCGCCGACAACCCCAAACTTGAACCGACCCCGCCGAGCAGCGTGGCCGCGCTGCAGGATCCACGCAGCATCTGTTACGCGTTTGCGCGGCTTGCGGGGAGACTGCGCACCGGTGGAGGTGATGGCTGGTGTAGTGGCCAATCACAGTGGGATGAATGCTGCTCTCACCGCTGATGAATCATATTTAGTAAATGTGTGTGTGTGTGTGTGTGTGTGGCAGAGAGATGATGATGATGATGAGGGGGAGAGACAGACATTCACAGGGTTCAGGTAGAGTCCAGGTTTGTCTCTCTCTCTCTCTCTCTCTGTGTCTTGTGCTGAGCACTGAGTTTTTTTTTTTGTCAGGTGGTGTAAGAGAGGGGAGGTGTAGGTGTGCTGTCGCCCTGGTTCGTTCGCCCCGGGGCCGTCCTTGCCAATACTTGCAGGCATTAACCGCTCAATGCACAATTCCCAGCGAGGGTTTCTGAAATCCTTTTTAGGTGCGTTTGTCATGTCGCTACACGGCCCAGGCTACCAGGACGGCGCTCAATGATGAATGTCCCCCCCCCTGCTTATATGATTTCATGCCGGCCACTCAGTGCAGCTTCTATCTAATATCTCAACAATGTGGGGATGCAAATGGGAAAGAACAAGGGAGGGAGTGACGCTGCCGGCCGTCCACCGCCGCCACGAACAGCCAACTTGTCTTTATTTTGAGGCTGACGGAATGCCATTACTCAAGCCCCCCGAACGTGATATTTCTTCTTTCTTTTTTTTTTTTTTTGTTGCATGCGGTAGAATGACCACTGTGGGAACCTGTTCCTTGAAGCGCTTCTGCTCATGTTCTTGGCAAACGGAGCCCCCTCTGTCCCCCATTCTCTGTCCCTTTATCTACCACTCTCCTTTCTCCCCTCACACAGGGTGTCAGGCTGCGTTAACAATGAATCAATCTTTGGGGGGATTCTTTGACTGCAGATTGGGGGGGGGTGGTGGTGAGTGACCGGGATGCGTGGCTCTCGCTCTTTGTCTGTCGGTCCCCGCGCTCTCAATAATTCATTAACTTATCACTTTTTCCTCGTGGGACTTGGAAGAAGTCTCTCTGGTGGCAGATTCTGTACTTGCGTCAGATTTCCTGACTGATGATGGCTTGAGCCTTCGTTTGGAGGGATTGGTGCTATTTAGTTATTATTGGTGGCGGTTACTTTTGCTGTTGTTGGCATGCTGTGTGTCTGAAGTGTGAAAAAAATATATATATAGATACTCAGTATGCAAGCCAGTGGCCAAACATTTGCTAATAAAATCTGGCGATCAGTCATGACGGATCCCTCCTCCAGATTTGTGTGTTTGCGTGTATTCAGTGGGATCTGTAGCTCCCTGGGTTTGGATTTTCTTCTCCCCAGCCAGCTGCATTGCTAGTGTGACTGCAGACATTCACACACATTAGTTCAAACCAGATTCCTGAGGTCTGTACACTGAATTAGAAATCATGTTTCTCAATGACGTTCTTTGGGAATTTGAATCCGTGTTGAAAGTTGAATGTTTTATTTAATGATTGAATACTTTGGTGGTTGTTGCTGCCATGTGGCTGCGTCGACTCCTACAAACTGTCTGGTATCATCCAAACAAGGAGGACAAAAAAAAAGGGAAAGAAAAGCGGAGAGCATTCCACTTTTGGATAACTGTCTCTAATCTGTCTTTGTCAAGCTGCATTTTTGCGTCACTGATGTCTGAATGCGCGGCATTCTTTGAGCGTTTCGTCAGTCCGTGTGCCCAAAGAGGGTCAGGGAGACCGAGATAATGGGTTTCGTTTCGAGCTACTGCCGAGCGGTCACGTGACGGGGCCCACGTGGGCCAATTTGGGATGAGTGGCCGCTTGGGTGAGCGGCAGCGCCGAGAGGACTCTTGAGCCGTAATTGAAATATGACTCTGTAGCACCGTCTTTTTTTTTTTTTTGTTGCTGGACAGCAGCACGAGCAGGCCCGAGGTTAGCCGACGCCGAGCGGTAACTTGCAAGTTGTTAATGAGACTTTCGCTCAGGCGAAATTGGAGTATCCATCTTTTGTACGAGATTCTCTTTACTGTGACTTTTTGTTTTTTGGGGGGGTTTTTTTGCAACCGAGGTCTAAGAAAGTTTCCTGTGGTCAGCTCAGTCTGCGTAAAACATCCCGTCCGGCCCCTCAGCGTCTCAAGGTCGCTCTCGCAGCGACAGCCGGCTGTCTTTGTTTTTTTTTTTGTTGTCAAAAGCCGACATCCACTCGCTGGTGTGGCCGTAGTACTCGACCGGCAGGCTCTGCGTGTGCAGCCAAAAATAGACAAACGTTGCTCAACAAGACAGTCGTGTTTCCACTGCTGAAATATTTAATAGCCACTTTGCCCCAAACAAGTGAGAGGGAGGACAAAGGGAGACGGAAGCTCCTGAGACCGGGTAGTTGATCCCAGGTGGGAGGAAGCTGGACCGATGCTCCCCGAACACCCCCGCCCCGACAGGTCCCGTCTCCTTCGTCCCCGCGGTCCACCTCTTCTTCAACTCTGAGGTGATACCAAAGCGGGAGGGCGGCCACGCCATATGGGAGCCATGCACACTCCTGAAAGCCAAACGGGCAGCCTGAAGCAATCATTGCACCCAATTCCACTTTATAACCAGCGAGGATTTGGAACAGTTCACTCTCGGCAGTCCACGTTGATTGGACGAAGGCAAGAATTTATTAGGGGAGGGGGTGCTAGGAGCTCTGTGCCCCCCCCCCCCCCCTCCACCCAGCCCCCTTGCCCTTCCTCTTTAACTTCAACTCCCCCTTTAACTTTCGCTCCCCCCAGCTGAAGAATGCTCGTAAAAGGGGCTTCACCTGAACAAGCCAGTGGGAGGGAAGCTCCTGTCTTGTTTCGTTACCGTTGTAAAATGTCAGTAAGACCGTGTTTGTATTTGTGTTTTTATTTTTATTTTTAGGGGCCCCCTTTTTTATGAAAAAAAAAAACGCTTTTGGGAGAGACAAGGGTGGAGGGAAAAAAAAGTTTGGTTTGTCAGATAACTGCTACCAGATGCTCCCTCTGTCTGTTATTCAGCAGAGACGAGAAGAAAGAGAGAAGCTGCGTGAAGAGAAGAGCCACACGGTCACTTCTGGATGAACTTCTCAACTTGTCTACAATTGTCCCCGGTCTTCTCTGCCTCCATTGAATGTACACGCTTAGAAAAAAGGAGGGTGTGTTGTTGGCGTCTGTAAAATCCTCATTTTGGCACCAAAACAACAGGCGGCTTTGGCCTCGACCTCACACACACACACACACACACACCGATCTCCCAAGACGGTCCGCCATGTTGATCCCATTGGTCGAGGGGGGCGGTTCGCCGGTCGTCGGAGGACACGCGTCCGTGCGAGTGGCGAGGACAGCGGGGGGTATCCATCAGCGCCATTCGTTAAAGGAAATGACAACAAAACGCAGCGAGCGCGCCGGCGTTTGCTCACAGCGCCGAAGCTGCTCAGCAGCTGTTGGACCCCCCCCCCCCACTTCTTTTTTTTCACGTGCCGTTTTTTTTAACTTTTATTGCGGCCTTAAGTTCAACGAGAAGTCAAGTTGAGCGACAGACTTCCACAGCATCGTTAAAGGCCCCAGACCTACGACTGCGTCTCAGCGCTGGCACGGCATGTGTCGGATCATTTATTACTGTCCCGTTTCCCTCCACGACATTTCTTTCCTTAATTGGACAGATTTATTTTTCTCTCACTCCGGGTTGAAATGGAAAGTGTTGCGTTCACCGCCCGCTGACGTCGGGCTCGTCGTCAAGGCGACCCGCCGGTCAAAGGGCCGCCTCCCGACAGTGACACGTCACACCGATCTTCGCGGCGTTGCAGTGTTTTGTTTACCAAACAGAAGTTGGCCGTTTTCAGCGCGAACCGGTATTTTCTTTGGACAGCGGGCGACTTTTGGCAAAGCATCAGCGTGTTTCCATCGAGCTTGTTCCTTATACCCAGCGCTGTGACCAGTGACTGTACGGCCGCGGTTTGATTACACGGGAGAAGTAAAGGGCCACGTACCATTAGCGCCTCCGACGGTTCGACGACGCCACACCTAAAACGGGATTAAACACCATTTAAAGCAAAGCTGGACCCAAACGCAGTG